TTTTTCGATTTTTAACTTGTCAATCCATTAAATGCACTTATAATTAATGTTTACACTTAGAAAAATGAATTCCACTTGAATAAAATGCTTTCCACTCTGAAATTAATACTTTGCACTTATAAAACTTTCCACTATAAAATTAAAATAAAAGTTATACAATCTATATTGCTTCGTCTCGCTGTTCCGAGACGAGACCGAGACGATACGAGAAAAGTCTCGGTATCGCGTGAAGCCCTAATTTTGGAATAATTTCCTCAGTTGCGGAATTTAATTCTGTATCTTCCTGTGTTGAAATTTATCGCGAGAAAATTCCGTTACGCGAGTTATATTCATAGTTGTGTGTATGCGCACTACTACTCGTTGCGCTAGGAATTGTAGTCTTTTTAGTACAACACGCAAACGCGGTCTTAAAATATGTTCGGAATAATTTCCCCAGAAGCAGAATTTAATTCTGTATCTCCCTGTATCGAAACTTATTGCAAGAAAATTCCGTAACGCGAGTTATATTGAAAGTTGTGTGTATACGCACTATTACTCGTTGCGCTAGGAATTATAGTTTTTTTAGTATAACACGCGAATGCGGTCTTAAAGTGATTTCGGAATAGTTTCCCCAGATGCGGAATTTAATTCTTTATTTCCCTGTATTGAAATTTATTGCAAGAAGATTCCGTAACGCGAGTTGTATTGGTAGTTGTGAGTATACGCAATTGTACTCGTTGTGCTAGGAATTGTAGTTTATTTTAGTATAACACGCGAACGCGGCCTTAAAGCGATTTCGGAATAATTTACCCAGATGCGGTATTTAATTTTGTATCTCCTTGTATTGAAATTTATTGCAAGAAAATTCCGTAACGCGAGTTATATCGATAGTTGTGTGTATACGCACTAGTACTCGTTGCACTGGGAATTGTTTTTTTTTTTTTAGTATAACACGCGAACACCGTCTCACAATAAGTTCGGAATAGTTTTTCCAGATGCGGAATTTAATTCTGAATTTTCCTGTGTTTAAATTTATTGCTTGAAAATTCCGCAACGCGAGTTATATTGAATATTGTTTGAATACCCACTAGTACTCGTTGCGCTGAGAATTATATTTTTTTTAGTATAACACGCGAACATCGTTCACAATAAGTACGGACTAAATTTCCCAGATGCGGAATTTAATTCCTTATTGCGTTGTATTGAAATTTATTGCAAAAAAATTCCGTAACGCGAGTTATATTGATAGTTGTGTGTATACGCAATTGTACTCGTGGCGCTAGGAATTGTAGTTTTTTAGTATAACACGCGAAAGTACCACTTTTTGTGTCTGAAAACCGTGGAAAATCTGGCGCTTTATAGGTGGAAATAAATTTAAATGTCTTTCCATATTGACTGTATTCAATTCTAGATTTCTTAGATTGATACATTGTTTATACCAATAAGAGAGTCCGTTCACAATATACAATCTTTTCATTGCATTGGACAGCATACACAACATGAATTGTTCATAATTGTCATTCTTGATCCTTATCGGTGTTTGTGCATAAACAACTTTTTGTTATCGCGTTGCCGCGCGCCCGGCTCGCTCACCAGTGTTTGTTCTATTTCTTATTTAGTCAATCGTGCGCTGCCGCGTGGTAAAAACGTGTTTATTTAGTCGGCGGTTTTCGTGGCGACTAATCGTGTTTCTTCTGATTTTAAGACGGTTGTTGAATTAAAATCGGTCAGCAAAGATTAGATTTAAAAGTACCCGACGAGTACGGTGTATAGTTATTGAGATATCGCGCGTGGAACCCAGAATTGCGTGGTTTTATAAGATGCGCACGTGTTTGCCGTCGGCCGGCGGATATCTTCCATCGGCTACGAATTTCTAGTGGTTTTGTTTTGTCTATTTATTTAATTATTAATTTGAATTACCACCACCATTTGTGCCTCTTGTGGAATATTTTACCTACGAAAACGTAAGAAGGTGTGTAACATAAATACTATATTCTATGTATAAGCTCTGAAAATGGGCACATTTAATCCACGATGTAATGCAAGTAGTGCAATATTATCGCGTTCCGTCGACTGCCTATTCGCTTCCGTTAGGATCCGTTTATAGTGCCTGATTATTGCGTTTGTATCTTATTTCTGTTCGTAATCGGCTTCGCGTGTTTGCTAGTTTCTGAGTTTAAGAGATCATGATTTAGTATTTCTGTAAAAGTAGTAATTATAATTATTTATTATGTTCTACCCCCGCACCTATCACCTCTCCAGGATATCCAGGTGGAAACAGGTAATAGAACTTGTATTTGTATCACCCTGTATATAAAGTTTCCTTTATGCTCATCGAGAAATGATCAATCTTTATTGCTTTAGGGTGATTTTCTTTACAATTAGAAGGTTTTCTTTTGACAACACCCTGTATATAAATTTTTCTTCCTCAGCAAAAAATGCCGATTTTTAATGTTTGAGGCCATTTTCTTTTTACATTGTAGATTTTCTTTTGGTAGCACCCTGTATATAATTTTCCAGTGATGTCCCGCGAAAACAGGGTGCAATTTGCTATTTTCTAATGTTATCCTTTGAAATTTGGTAACAGTTTGCATGTCGTGGCTTTGCAGGTGATAAACATGATAAACTAAAATGACGTCACGTGTTCTGCAGGAATTGAACTTGCAAATTCTGAAGTTGTATTGTATGTAATTTGTTAATAAAGAAATATTAAAGGCAATGGTAATGTCTTATGACTTGTACACCCCTCCTTTCTATCATTTCAGGTATAGGTCAGAACAGGAGAGGATTTCTTAGTTAGTGTTGTGGTCGGCCCTGAGAGAGACGACATTTGAAAATATCTCTACAAGTCCTTATATAGAAATATTTTTACAAGACATTTTATACGGATTGTCCTTATAAGGAGTTCCCTCTCTCAGGGGATGATCCCCACTATAAAAATTGTTAAGGTATCCTGTATGATTTGTGTACTCTTTCTCTCATTTCAGGTACAGGTCAGAACTTGTAAGAATATTTTTAAGTGTCACCTCGCTTGAGGCGACTTAAAACTTAGAAATATTTGAACAAGACCTTATAAGGATTGTCCTTATAAGGAGTTTCCCCTCTCTGGGGGTGATCCCCCACCATAAAAATTGTTGATATGCCTGATAATTTCGGGGATGAAGCGCAGAGACATCGTAGCTGTAGGATGGGCCGGGAGCAATGGACGCATGAAGCAGTGGGCGATCGACCAGAGCGCCGGAGGCGCTCTGGGAGATCGACCTATGACTGTCTTATAACGACACGGGCCAAAAAATTTAAAAATCTGATCCTCCCCTGTTCTCTTTCTTCTATCTCCTCATTTTCTCTACTCTACTCTCCTCTGTTGTTCTCTTTCTTCTATCGTCTTCTATTCTCTACTACTCTCATTCTTCTATTTCTCTGTTCTCCCGTTCTCCATTTACTTTCTTACTTCTCTTATTTTGCCTCCACTTGTATTTCAATTTCTCTTATATTTCGTTGCAATTCATATATGCAACCCAAATTTCACCTGATATTTTTATATTTGAGAAAAATGCCTTCTATACCTGGGATTCGATCCGTGTCTGCTAGCATGCCAGCAGGTGCACGTCTCCACTCGACCACCGAGTGTTTTTATTATTGTTATTTGATTCTTCTATTTATGTTTCTACTTTAATCATGTTTTTAAAAACAACAACACAATTCAAGCAACAGTTAGTTATGTTATACCCGCTGCACACACATAAAACTTATATGTCATATTATTTAAAACTGAAAACGACAAAGAGGATACCACAAAAAAATATGAATGAGAATATTATTATTTGTTTTATTGACAACATTTACAAATACATATACATTTTTTAAAGGAAAAACATTGGCGACTATTAAATCCTATGGAGTACATACCTTAAAACATGCGCAACTGTATACCTTCTGCAATAAATATTACAAACTGCAAGGCCCTTCAATTCGGACACTTCTTCTCTGTATACATACGTTGCCTATTTATTCGAATTAAATACAAATCCATGATATTCTTCTGTGTATTCTTCTATTTATATGCGAAAAATAATCACCGACGGCCTACGGAAATGCGCATATTATCTGGCAAAATTCCAATAAATCCTAGTATTATAGTCGATTGTTTATTGAATATAGATCAATTTCGATCTGCTAAAACCAAACTAGTCGCGAAGAACGCTCACGATTCATTTAGTATCCGGAATGGATACTAAACTGCGTACGACTGCACGCGGTCACGCGGTTTTGCCAATGCGATGCGGTCAACAACAAATTTCATCGGCCGGCGGAATACACACGCGCACATGGTGAGATCTCTTAATTCTTAAAATTAAATTTATCATTTATAATACGATTATAAACCTCCAAAACTTAATATTCCTTAATGAAAACTGGAAGGTATCTGAATTATTAATAATACAAATAAAATGTATATAGCTCTTAATATGTAAAAATGTGAAAGATATATTTCTTAGGGCAATTGAATTAGTCATAGTTCACTGCTGAATGATTGTTTTATCAGTTTGCGATGATAATTTTGAATTCACAAATTTCTTGCTTCAAATTGAAATTCATTTAAGTGTTTTTGCTTTCTTTATAATTATCTAATGCACGATCTAGCACTTTAAAATTTTCAATAATTAACATTTGTGTAATACTAGAAATTGGTATAGTAGTACTAATAACTTGAAAACTACTTACGTTATCGTAAACAAACCAATTTTAATGGAATCTTTGCAGCATTCTTCACCACGGTTCAATCTTTTTTAAAACTATAAATTAAAAAAGGGTAGTACTATAAACAAACAGATAATTCATTATTAAATTCGTAACTATTGCAGAACTGTAGAATTCTTGAAAAACCTAGAGGCAAATATAGTTTAACTAGCAAATAATCTTCAGAAAAAATAGAAATTACAATGAAATAGAAGCTTTAAAACCGCGAGATAATATTTTATAATTTTTTTAAGTTATCCTTCCAATCGCAACGCCACCTGTAAGCGCAAAACCCTCAACTTGAAATTGTGTGAACAATGGCATTATGAGGACGCACGCAGTAGATCGGGTCGATACAAACATTTCTCCGCTAGTAAATGCTTAGCCCTATCGTAGTAACATGTAGTTTCTGCCGCCTCCGTGCCGCCACTTCTAAATTCACTTACTCGCGACGCTCTATAGCTGCTTTCTTTTATTCACTGTGCCGTGCCATGTGATGTTAAGCAGCGGCGGACCGCGAGTCCTTCGTCGCGAACACGGACTGCAGTTGCCGCTGCATCCGCTGCAAGTGTCCGGTTGGCTGGCCCTTATTGGACTTGCCGCGGGATCGTTTCTTTTCCTCGTTCCTGCGTTACCTGTGGTTTTGCAGCCGGCTGCGCTAGCAACACTTTGCACTCTGCTGCTGCTACATCTGGCGGCGCATCTCGGCGCCGTCCTGATAGATCCCGCCGAACCGGCGCTAAGGAGGACGGCGCCTGTACCGCTGCCAACCTTGGACCGGACGAAGCACGCGCACGTCATCGAAGAGGGCTCGTGTCATTTGTGCAAGGTGCTCGTCAGCGGCGAGCGGACAAAGCACTGCAGTGCGTGCAACAAGTGCGTTGCCCGTTTCGACCACCACTGCAAGTGGCTGAATCATTGCGTCGGGGGGCGCAATTACGTGCCATTTCTTATGTGCGTAACGACGGCGGTGGCGGCTTCAGCCTTCGTGGCATTGCTTGCCATCGCCGAATTCGTCGTCCACCACACGGACCACTCCTGGCTAACACGCAACCCCCCTGCTAACGACACGTCCGTTGCACATTCGTCCTTGCCGAGCAGCGACGCTGCCTTCTTGGCCGTGGTGGCTATCCTCGGTCTGCTGGCAATCATCATCGCTGGGCTGCTCCTGCATCTATGCTTCTTTCATATCTACATATCCTTCCTGGGACTCACTACTTACGAGTATATTCGCCAGCAGCGTCAAACAAACCCGCCACAATCATCACAACCGGAAACCACCAATAACCAGCAACAACAACAACAACGATGCTCAGCAGAGTCGTTCCTACGACATCGTCCACCAATGAACTTACGTTGTGAGGAACGACGGATGACACTGTTCGCCGTCCTTGAAGAATCCTTCACGTGCACTCCTACACCGCCGTCCACTCCGCAGGATTGCTCCATGTGCGTAAGCAACAGCGTAGTGCCCGATGAACGCAGAACTGCTCCACGTCCACGCAAATTTAAGCAGAAATGGAACTGCTGTATGTCAGTTCCCGACAGTCCCGACGAGGAGCCGCGCTGTCTGATGTCCTTGTGTAAAAATCACAAGACTAAAAGTACGGTGCCGTCCATTACCGACCGAAGGACACACTGGTCGAGTGCCAAATTACGCGTCCTCCTGCGCGTGTTGAGCAACCTTGGCAATCACCGCCGACGTAGTAATCAAGTGACACCAGCGGTGTCGCAGGAAATTGAACCTATTGCTACAATTGCTGAAAATGTTCCATGTGTAAATAGAGAAATCCTGCCCCCTGTTTTGCCCCCGCGCGCCGTCGTGTGATCACCGAAAACGAAATTGCTAACGCGCTCAATATTCTACAGCAGCAACGATTGAACGGCATTCGCAGGGCGCCTCAATATCGCCGTAGAAGACGCAGCACCGTGGTCCACAGGACAAAAACGCCCGCTTTATCTCCTATTAGGGAAACCGGCTTATCAAATCCAGCCTCGCCGTCCAGACAAAATTGTTCTGGGATTGCAAACTGTGCAAATCGCCCAATTTAAATCCGTCTTTAAATGTAAATTGTGTGCTTTAATAAAAATAGTTATATTTATTGTTAATTAATTCATGTATTTTTGTTTCCTTATTTTTCTTAATTCCTAAATAATTCGTAAATATGCAACCAAAGGGACAGATATTAAAACACAAACCGAACGCCTCTGTAGGAAAATTCTAAAAGTAAAACGCAGTTTAAAATCAAGCCATATTTAGAATTTGAGGTTAACTACGGCGAAAACATGTTGAAAAATACGCTGAGACAATTTAAATTATTCAGCTCAATTTATAATATTAACTTAGCAACACAAAAAAACACTCGGCTCTTATCATCCTTCTCACCTCACATCCAGAAAGCCAAAGAATCAAGCAGTGGTTCACTAAAATCACGGACCTCCGATGACGGTGAATACTTCGTGCGACTGCAAGACAATCCTGATGTTTTTGGATCAGACCCACCTCGAACACACCAATCCCAACTTCCCGATAAAGATGATTTAAGAGAAGAACAACATTTAACTAATCAACCAAATAGAAGTCGACAGTTAAGTACTAAACAGTATGCAGATATAATAAAATCTTTGATTGATAAAAAGAAAATCAAAGAAGCTATTGATGTAGTTGAAGTAAGAATGTTACAGGAAGATAAAGTCCAACCTGAGAATTATCTATATAATCTGCTGTTGGGTGCATGTGGCCGAGTTGGTTATACAAAGAAAGCATTCCAATTATTCAATGATATGAAAAAGAGAGGACTAAAGGTCCATCCTGGTGCATACACAGCACTATTTAATGCATGTGCAAACAGTCCTTGGCCTGAAGATGGTCTCACAAGAGCTAAACATCTACACAATATCATGATTGAGAATATGTATGAACCCAATGACAGTAACTACAATGCAATGATAAAGGCATATGGAAGATGTGGTGATATCAATGCAGCATTCTGTTTGGTTGATGAAATGTTTAGGAAGAAATTTTGCATCAAAGATGACACTTTAAACTTTTTAATTCAAGCCTGCATCAGTGATACAGAGGCTGGATTTAGGCATGTCCTTTTAGTTTGGCACAAATTTATGAAAAAAAGAATAAAACCGTCAGTCTACAGCTACAATTTGTTATTAAGGGCAACTAGAGATTGTGGATTAGGAGATATGGAGTCAACAAAGGATGTTCTCAAGCAAATCTTGTCTCCAAATGATAAATTCTTAAAAATTGCTGATGGAAACACTAAAAATGATGAGGAGCCTGTGCCAATCGACGCGGGAAATACACTAAACCTCCCAACAGATGAAATTCCTGGTGGAATGCTTGAAATTGATAACGTTTACGGCACTAGCGAAATAAACCGACCGAATCTACTGGCAGAAACCCCGCAATTGGGCAATATTGTTCTCATCAACGAGATAACAAAAGCAGAGGACCGTCTGCTTTTATTAGGTGGCGCACAAAACTTTCTGGAAGACATGCAGAGACGAGAATGTACTCCTGATATTAAAACATTTACACAACTTCTGGATTGCCTGCCCAGTACGGCCTTTGCCGAAAGTGAGTTACTGAGCTCAATGAAAAAATACGGAACTAAACCGGATTTAGATTTCTACAACATGTTAATCAAAAAGCGCAGCATGCGATTCGACTATGTTGGAGCAAAAGATGTGTTGAATATGATATACAATGACAAATTCCAACCAGATTTAATTACATATGGGATATTAGCTTTGGGTTGTAAAAATAAGGAAGAGGCCGAAAATTTTCTTGAGCATATGGAAGCGGGAAGATACAGGTAATAGGACTGTTTTATTTAAAATGCGCATCTAATTTGTTTTAATTTTCCAGGCTAAATGCTGCAATTTTGGGTGCAATGCTTCAGCAAAGCACTTTCCACATGGATTTCCCATACGTCATGTTCGTGATGGAACGTTGTGTGACGGAAAACATTCAACCAAATGAGGCCTTTATAACACGCTTAGAGAAGTTTCATAATAGATGCAAGAAACTCTCGAATGACTCTTCGACCAATTATGGTGCGTTGTTTTTAAAAGTGTTTCGTTTAAAGTTGACTAATGAATGTTTTCAGGAAAAAATAAAAAGTTCCTTAGAGGATTCCAAATATTCCGGATGCGTTTGAAAACATGGCGAGAACAAGTAACACCCGAGGAAGAAGTCCATCCTTGGCAACAATTCCGACAACCTGTTGAAACTGATGTAAGACATTACAAAGATAAGGACGAATCTTCCCACTTTAAGCCTCGTTACCTGAGTAAGTATCGCCAAAAACAAATTCCTACAGAAATTGTCAATAAAAAAGATGGCAGCAGAAAATATAAGAAAAACTCCGTATGGAAACCTAAACGAAAGGAATCGCGACGTGTAGAAAAATAATCTCGAATGTTTATAAGTAGATGATAAACCAAGATATTAATAAAGTTTGAATAAGAATTTTAATATCTTAAGTTACATCATACGTTTCATACCTTACAACTTGAGGTGATGTAATTTCCTATTCAAATCCTCAAATTTCATGACCTTCCTGATGAAGAAGTCGCCATATCGGTGAGCGACCTTCGTGTCGGCGATGTGAATCATGTCGTTATCAATATAAAAATCCAACTCTGATCCACTTTGGAATTTTCCATCCAATCCTGAGGCTCCCTTAGACCATACCACGTTCTTCATCTTGTGCTTGAAGCATAACAAGTGTATGCACAGTGCCTGCATTTCCTTCTCGATTTCGCGCTTGGTTTCATTGTTACGCTGGGGCGATTGTGCCATGAATGTCGCCAGTTTGATGAGTGGAAGGGTAGTGTACAGCTTCAGGTAACTTCTGATGGTTGGCAGATTCTTCTGCTGCTGTACTTCGTCCATGAATACCTGCGTCTGATGCTTGATTGCCTCCTTGGAATAATCACCCGGGTTGGACTCGACGCCTGGTGGCCATGGCGACAAAAATTTAGGGCATGCAAATACAAAACAGTTTTCGAACTCTTGCAAATCGCCATATTGCATTTTATACATCTTCTCATGGTAAGACTTATCACGCAGGGTCTGCTGAATGCTCTCATCAATACACTGCGGATGCAAAACCAAGCAGATCGCAAGCAAATGATACATCTGATCGGTTTGCTTGTTTATCTGATCATGCTGGTAGCTCTTGGTCGCAAAGAGCTGCTTAGTTCTTTGCACATATAACAAGATCGAAGAGAAAGTGCGAATTGCGTCCGAGTAGCGACGCATCATCATGTACGCAAAACCGACGTAGTAGGAGGTAGAGATTTGGCAGGCTGGTACATGAGCATACTGCGACTTCTTGTGCACTTCGATATTTTCGAGCACCTTGATTGCTTGATAATAATCGCCCAACAAAGAGTGCAGGCGCAACAAACCAACCAACGAGAAATATCCCAACATTTTGTAGAGGGAGTGACGGCCGAATTCTCCGGCAACAGAGTCAGGATCACCGCCTGATGCGAATACCTCCAATTGCTGCTTAATGTTGCTCTTGTCAACCAAGGAATGTAGTACATTCAGCACGCACAGAACATTCCACACCTTGTTGTTGTTGTTCAACTCCTCCAATTCCAAAGGGCTCTTTTTCTGCAGACGAGCGCGATATTGAGCGAACGATTGGAATTGATAAACGAACTCATCGACTAACTCCCACAGCCACAAGTCGGGTAACTCAAGCGGGACTGGCTCCTCAGCGCTCAAAATGTAGTTGAACAAGTCACAATAGTTGTAAAAGGAGTTGAAGCGTTGTTCCAATGTTGGTCCTCCTTGGATGCGAGCGTAAATATGACGATAGTACAATTCTTTGTACAAAATCATAAATACCTGTTAAATATTAGAATTTTTTCGTTGTTTGTTTCAGTTGATTAAAAAATAATCTAAACTATAAGCAATTAACCAGTAGTATTGGTAGCAATGGAGGGGCGTAGAAGCACGTAAATAATTTAGTAAAATTGGAAATCAATAGGTACTATTGAATAGCTTCTGCTATTGTAAAGCCAACATTGGTGCAGCTCCCACAGTCATTACTGAATTATGCAAATAATATATAAATATTCTAGTGTGAAATGCTTTGGTAGTAAAACTAAATTCTTCAGAGAGATCAGTTAATTTACAGTGCACACACAAGAATTACATCTGGCAAAATGAAGAAAGCAGAGGAATTCAAGATGCGAAAAACCGAAGAATATACCTACAAGCTGGAGAAGTACAAGCAAGAAGTGCGAGAGAAAATCAAGGAAAGCATTGATGTGGTTCAAGAAAAAGGATCTGAGGGTAAGTTGCAAAATATTTAAATTTAGTGTTCCACCTACCTGGTCATTGTCAACTAAAGCTGCAACCTCTGACTCTTCTGGCCATGGCTTCTTCTCAAAGCAGTCTTCTGTAATCTTGGGCCATGACATTTCATACAAAGTTTGCAATTCAAACACAAGGCCCTCATTGACTGCATTCCTGAAGTACATCAAAAACTTCTTGACCAGCTCAGGCATATTAAACATAGACCTGTTGTACTCAGCATCCAAGGCTGGGTCTCCAGTGTGACCACCATACTCAGAATCATAGTTGTAGTCTGATGTCTACAAAAAAACAAATGAATTTAATTTATGCAGTATGAAGGTTTATTAGTGTGGTGATGGCTCAGGTGACGTTTCTGCGGCTTGATGAAGTAGAATTTAAGATAGAAATGGGCCTCACGCATGCAAAACATGTAGGTGAGTTCGTATTTTGCGCGATTCACTGAACGAGAGCAGTACAGAACGCGTATTCTTTGAGGTTATAAAACGTGAACTCGGAATATGAAACAAATTACCCTAACATTTGAAACGCCCGATATGATAATTAGGGTTACTAATTAACAAAATAACAATTACCTCGTACTCGTCAGTGTACATGTTGAAATTTGGCCGCAAACACTTTTTAAATGAATACGACACAGCCGCTCACAACTTAGTTTGACAAGTGCTGTGGCAGGAAAATGGCCGAAACATTATTGTGATGGTTGCCTAAATTAACAAGCAGATACCGCTATATTCAATAATGCCAAAGTTACTTTATCAACAATTAAATTTAATTTATATATTTATTTAAAATTCATTGTTTTAAAAGTTTAATATCTAAAAAGCGGTTTCAACAAAACGCTCAGAAAATCTGGTTTGTTTAGTATCGTTCTATATTAACGAGCATGCGCAGTGTTAATTGAATTTGACACAACAAAATAAATTGTAAATTTAATCTTAAAACAGATCAAAATATAAAATATGTTATGACAATTTATTAAATATGAAATTACTGTAACTTTGCGCACTGTTATCGTGCATAAAATCGCAACTGTTTATGACACACAGTGCGCATCATTTGCGCGAAGTGCGCATCAAACACAAACTGACATTTAAATTCTCATGACGTCTAGTTCAGTTCAGTCTGGTTTGCGATGTTTTCATTGCAGTAGGTTATGCGAAATGATGAATAAAATCGTCTATAATCTCCAGTAATTGTGATAACAAACAAATCGAATAAAAAAGGAGAGAATTTGTTCATAGTGTGTAATTAGTAGCACGTCGAATATCTATATAAGTTCAACATGTTAGGAAACGCATTTGATTTTGGTAAAACTGGTAAAATCCGGAATTATTTAAAATATATCGTATTAATCATCGGGATTTTTTACAGTTTTGCGTAGTTTATTAAATTCAGAACCACCATCCACCAAAGTTTTGGATGTGGGGACAGATGCTTACTCTTCTAGAAATGTTCTGTACAGAGAGGAAGGATTGATACTCTATGGACCTGGCAGTGATAAGAAGGATAAATTTGAGATTCTACTCAACAAACCATACACAGAAAGTCTGCATCAAGCATTTAGGTATAGTATATCTATTTTTTTAAAATTTATACTATTTACTAAAGAAATTAAATAAGAAAAGTCAAAAATCAGAAGTTTGGCTTTGTTTAACATGACTACATTCATTGTGAATCATTAATTCTGCGGTTTTTATTGATCATTCAAATTGTTTTATGTTATTCGTTATGTAACTTAAATTGCGCAATCATATGAAAACGTGAAACCAACAAAAAATAACTATGATAACTACTGTAATTCGTAATTTAATACATGATTTAATTCATAGTTTGTATCGTTCTGCGGAGAAGGAAGAAGCAGAAAATAAATTTGTATGCTTCAAAGACAAAGTACCCACATTCGTAGTCATTGCAAAAGAAATGACGAATTTGAATGGCCTACAACGACTATGTGATACTCTAACTGAACACCCGGAATGGACATTGGCACATCTAGCAGCGCAGTTCGGCTTGACCGATGCGTTTCAACACTCGGCCGTCAACAGCCAATTGAATAGTAGCGATACACTCACTGGAATGTCCCCCTTGCAGGTTGCAATCACGACCAATCAGATTCACATAGTCAAAGCACTAATTAATTCAAAATGCTCCTTGGAACATATGGATCATCAAGGAAACTCCGTCTTTCATTATGCTGCAAACACCAATAAGGAAATTATAGCTGTATGTTAAATATATGATGATATAATTAGGTAGATTTGAACTTCATGTTCACTTTATTAGGCACTGATCCAAGGCAATTCATCATCGAAGAATGCTCGCAATCACAACGGTCACACTCCGCTGCATTTGGCATGTTTAGCCGACAAACCCGAATGCGTGAAGGCATTGTTGCTGGGAGGCGCCGACGTGAATATCTCAGCCAATTTGGAAGGTGGCGCAGAACCAGCGCCCGGATACGTAGGCAACTTTTTGCAAGACTATCCGAATGTGTTGAGCTCACAGGATATGAAATTCGGCGGTACACCATTACATTGGGCGTCATCGCGTCTGGTAATTGATGCACTGGTCGACGTAAACTGTAATTTAGACGCCCGGAACTTTGAGGAGCGCACTGCTTTGCACGTAATGGTACTACGTAATCGCCTAGAATGTGTGGTTGCGTTGCTCAGTCGTAATGCGGATCCTGACTTAGGCGACTGCGATGGTAATCGACCAATCCACTTGGCGGTCAAAGAAGGAAACATATCCATCATTCAGAGTTTGATTATTTTCGGCGCCAATCTCGATGTTCTGAACAATGCGGGCCAAACTGCTCGCCATTTGTTGAAAAGAGATCAGGAAACAAAGTTGTTATATCTGTTACATGACGTGGGCGCTGCACGTTGTCCGCCAGACATGACTGATTGCACTGACGGATGCAGGCATGATGGCGATTTCAATGGGGAACGTCCACCAGCAGTCATGGGACCAACAAATCGTGATATTTTAAACCAAATGCTCTCTGTGAATGCAGTTGACTTGGCCGCGCATAAAGAAACTAGGAAGCCTGGTAGAATGTTAGCTTTGGACGGCGGTGGAATTCGAGGACTCGTGTTAATTCAAATGCTCTTAGAAATAGAAAAGGTTATCAACAAACCCATCAATAATTGCTTTGATTGGATAGCAGGCACAAGTACTGGTGGAATATTAGCTCTAGGTATTGCATCCGGCAAAACCATGAAAGAGTGTTTATGCCTGTATTTCCGCATGAAAGAAATAACATTCGTCGGTCTGCGTCCATATCCCAGTGACGCGCTAGAGAATGTTTTAAAGGACGCGTTTGGCACCAATACCGTTATGGCAGATATAAAACATCCAAAAGTACTAGTAACTGGTGTGTTAGCTGACCGCAAACCTGTTGAACTTCACCTGTTCCGCAACTATGAATCACCAAGCGACGTGTTAGACATAAAACAGGAGTCGCCGTTTGAGCTGCCACCGCCGCCCCAAGAGCAATTGTTATGGCATGTTGGTCGTGCAACCGGTGCTGCCCCAACATATTTCCGCGCATTTGGAAGATTCCTCGATGGTGGACTCATCGCAAACAATCCAACTCTGGATGCTTTGACTGAAATCACTGAATTGAATCTTGCGCTGCGTGCCAGAAATAGAGCCGATGAAGTTACAGATCTTTCTGTTGTCTTGAGTTTAGGCACTGGAATGATTCCAACCACACAATTGAAGGTAGACTTTTATCGTCCGGAGAGTATTTGGGACAGTGCAAAATTAGTGTTTGGTATATCGGCGTTGGGTAGTTTGTTGGTTGATCAGGTAATTTTCCAATAAAATTAAAAAGTACCACAAAAAGTAATTATAAATTGTTTAACAGGCGACTGCAAGTGATGGCCGCGTAGTAGATCGAGCGCGCGCGTGGTGTTCATCATTAGGAGTTCCCTACTATCGATTCTCTCCGCAAATGTCTGAAGATATTTCGATGGATGAGAGAACTGATGAGAAATTGGTCAAGATGCTGTGGGAGACCAAGGCGTACATGCACGAAAACATTAAAGTAATCCGAGAAGTTGGTAATTTGGTAGCCGGTTAATGGTGTTCTAGTTTCATTTTAATAATTAGGGAATTAGGATACACGTACACATGCATCATTGTACTGCAGGCTAGTAGCCTGGCTAAAAATTGAATTGATTTATGTAGATGCTTATAGATGTTATAATATTTGTGATAAATGTTGTTACCACCCTATTTACTTAGCAAAATTTAGTTAGGTTCTCACGAATGATATACTCACATGCGCAGTTTAGCCAAGTGATTGAAAGAAGTGGAATTATTTGTGAAACAATATAGATACGAACAAATCACACTAACATTGCAAAATTAAATTGTGTTCACCAATCACCTACAGAAAATCCTAAACGATCCGACAATACTATTTCTATGTCTTGTTATCAAATATATTTGTCATTTTAAAAGAATATTGTAATTGTATTTGCACTATACCTTAATAATCCTTTTTCCTCGGCCGTTGATAACGTGAAGGCGTGCTATTAACTTCTGGCAGAACTTTCACTTATTACTTTCCAAAGTTTGTAAAATTACTGTTTACATCACTGAAAAACTCTACTTTGTGCACTGGATTTTATTTTAAATTTATTGAAATGCTGCTTGATATGAACAAATAATAACTAATGACACTTAATATTTGTTCACTCTTGCTATTCTGGTTAACTTCATTCAATTTGACTATAAAAACAATACATACTCTTATGCATCATATCCATATAAATATCCCTCTGCATATGCCCTGTACATATCGTCCGAGTTTCGTTTAAGTCGCCTACCAATAGGTTCCATATCATTATAGCATTTTGGAAACACTCTCTCCACAGCATCAATTGCTTCTAACTTACTGCAGTTTCTAACTGCCAATACAGACTGTAATGCTTTATTCTTAACACACACTTGATGTGCTTGCCTAATATTAAACAGAGACACATCTCCTTGAAACCATGCAGACATAAAGCTACAGTGTGTTAAATTGGCAGCTCTGATTTCTGTACATGCTAAGTGGTCAATATTCTTGAAATCTAATTTGTTCCGACAATAGTCAAACATATGAATCATTTCATGGGTTAAGACACCCTGAACCATACCCTCATTTGTTGCAATGTTTTGGCACACTACAACCTGATTTAACACTGGGTCATAGCCACCACTTACTAATGCACTGCATTCTTCACATGCAATGTGTCTTCTGATATCTACTGCACAACCAGAACTTTTCAGAGCTCCCATCATCAATTTAACAAGTGGAGAGGTTTTTATACATTTGTAAACGGTACGCTCGCAACGAATTTTATCAATGTTTTCTCTACCTTTTCCTTTCATGAGGTTTGACATGAGTGAAGGGTCCTTTTGTTGTCTTCTCTCTGGGTACAAGTCGTAGCCCCATTCTTTACCTGGTTGATTTCAATAACATTAAAGATAATACTTTATTATAATTAAAGGGTGTTATATTTACCTCCCTCCGGCGATGCATTATGCGGTTTTGATGCTGACTTTGTAGGTGTTTCTTCACTTTTATTCACTTTGTCGGTTTCGGCTGTTAGAACGGTCATTTTAGGTTAGAAGCAATTCGAGTCATGTTATCTAACGAGACGCACGTGCACCAATAAGAAACTTTGTACCAGTTTCTTTTGTTTGCGTACAATGATTTAAAATATTGTAAATCAGTTTATATTGTAATATTAATATTATAAACAACAATTAATATTAGCAACAAACTTTATATTCACTATAAAAATAACAAATCATCATTTAATCACACTCTTATTTGTATTAGCACGTTCAACTTGATAAAATTGTGCCATTTCGCGTCTTGTTTTTACCAAAATCCTATGTCCAGGGCAGTCCAAATTTTCTAAAAAGCATTTATCTTTACAACATTTTTTGCAAAGTTTGTAATTGCATTTCCCCCCCTAAAACACATGCAAAATTATATATTTTTTGAAATATTCAAAATTATTTGACATACTTGTGGATTAAAACAGCTACCACATTTTTCTAATCCTTTTTTACACACCGACGGCGCTTCCTTTTCAGGTCGACGTTGAATCCTCCGAAGTTTTTTCATCATTTTCCTTGATATCATATTACCCTCACAATCTAAATATTTTCGTTTTTTCTCCGCACATTGCGCCTCTTTTACTTTCTCTTCCACTAGTTTAACATGCTCATCCGGAGGCATTCGAATATAACTCTGACAAAGCCACGGCGGTAATATTAAATTAAAAGTACCAGGTTCATTTGTTTCATCCCACAACTTGACTCCATTATGATAATCAATATATTTGTCTCTTAATTCTTTTGAAATATTGAAAAACTGCTCCACTGATTTGGCGGCACCTAAACTAATTCTAGTTTTAGCATTCTCAGGTAAATTCAGTAAATGATGAAATAATTTAAACAGGTGTCCTCTGATGTATGATAAAGGGCATGGATATTTAACAACTAGATCTAGGTATTCTAATGCTGGTTCCCAACATGGAGGCCATGTAGATTCAAACAAGTAGGGATTGTATAGATTTCCCTCAGCAGTCATTACACCTTGACAATTTGTAGTTTCCATACAGTTTGTAATGTCCTGCATTGTTTGAATATTACCATTAGAAATTACAGGTATTTTCACAGCCTTCTTCACTTCTTTTACATACAACCAATCTGCTAAACCAGTCAATGGTCCTTTTTGTTCTCTAGTTCTGCCATGCAAAGTCAAAACTTTACATCCAGACTTTTCTAATAGTGTAGCATATTCAATTGTTTTCTCTACAGACTCAAACCGACGTATTTTACAAGTAATGGGTACTTTACATGACTTACTTAAAGTTGAAACTATAAAACAAACATGTTAACTGAATGTACCATAATCATAATACAAGTTGAATTTACCAATATTTGAAACTAAATCCCACTCATCTTGTAGATATGCACCATAATGACCCCTTTTTGCTATTGCTTGAGGACATCCTAAATTAATATCTATGGCACAGCAATGATCTTCAGCAAGTAATGCAGCTTCCAACATTATTTTTGGATCATTACCACAAAACTAAATATAAAATATTTTATGAAAATAACAGTTATTAATGTTTACTTTACTTTGTTTTGTACTTACTTGTATTATCAGAGGTTTATCTTCTTCACAGGTGGCAAGCGCTTCTTTACGATATTTGGCATCTTTTACAAACATAGCACTATGTAACATTGGTGTGTAACATAATTCAGCACCATATTTTCGACTCAATAACCGCCATGGCAACTCACTTGCGTCAACCATAGGAGCAACTATTTTGGTAGGACCTCCAAGGGTATTATTCCAAAAATCCATATTAAATACACAACTACTCCCTTTAAATCTTAAAGATATCAGAGAGTATAACGTGTCACGTTGTTCTGTTTATGATGGAATTATTTAAGGTTACTGTTGTTCTGATATGGGCCGTATTAAGGACAATGATTGAAATATGAAACTACTTATCGTAAAATGATTTATTTTATTGAGAGCAATTTTGGTTTAAACCAAGTACTTATTATTGTTAAAGTTGCATTTATGTATTACCCAACCACATTATTATCAATTTTTTGAAATTCTTGAAACATTGTAACTAAACCTGTCAATGCTTCTTTTGCGGAAGGAATAATTAAATCAGGTGGCAACAGAAAACCATACTTTCCTGTGTCTCTTAGTTCATAAATATAGGTCATTCTAGTTTTAAAACTATTTTTTACCCAATCCACGTTGTTTCCATAAGCTGGATCTGAAAATGGATAGATTCGGTTTCACCCATCTTTACAACTTAAGTCAAGTATGCTTACACAGAATTTCTACAATATTTCCAACTTGATATTCAGTTCCAAACTCATTTTTATTTCTTCAACCATTCTCTTTCCTACTGAGAACAATTCATCGTAGTTATCTCTATGAGCTGCGCTGTCGCCATATGGAATTAATAGAAGTTGTGAATAAGAGTGGAATGAAAAGTATGATATTAAATCGGGACCGAGTTTTTTTAGATGCTCTGATATAGCTTTTGTTTCCGGTTCAGAAAATGCTCTCGAGCCGGGATATGTCTCAGCACAAGGATTCCATGAGCTTCGCCAATTATAATCCCAATTTCTGTTTGGATCTGCGCCATAACAGAAACCATAAGGTTTCCTAGTTTTACGCCACATTCGATTCTAAAATTGTGATTATACAATTAGAACATTTGCTAATAAAGGCTTATTCTTTTTCGTTACATTTGTGAACGTATAACTATATCCATCGGGATTAAAAATGGGACATATATGCCAATCGTGACTTTCGGCAATATCTCGAAATGTTTTATCTTTTGAATTTAACACTTCATTCAATATATAAGTCACTGAAGCAACACCAATCCTAAAAATGTACATGTGAATATGACGCATAATCCACTTAAATAAATTCACACCATTCACGCGCATGCATTCCACCTTCTAACATTACTGTTTTTTGTTTATTCGCTGCGTTATAAGACACATGTGCACATACAATATCACGTCCTTCATAGGATTTACCAACAGTTTGTACCGTCACAACACCAGGATGTTCTTGTTCTAACTGTTTAAGCCATTTCTTTATCTATAAACAATATATATTTAAATTAATATAGCGAAACTATTATTCAATATTTACGTCTTCATAAGTATGGTAACTTTCCCAATCCATTGAACCAACACGTAATGATTTTCTCATCGACGCTGGTCTTTCGTTGTCAATCAACGTTTGAACATCATCTATAAACAGTTCCGCAAATGGAAACGTTTTCAGAAAGTTATTCGTATGTTCCGGAGAGACCATTACATCTACATGTTGGCTAGAACCAGAAAGGCTGGACCAGATAGTGTAATTTTGATTGTTTTCCAAAGCTAATAAATCGTCATAGTCGTTTTCCGTCGACACTTTTGTTCTGTATACGCGATAACCATGGTATTTCACTACCTCGGCAATTGATACTGATACGAGAATCAAAATAAACAATTTAGACCTCATTTTTGAGGTCAGTAATAAAAATGTAACTCAATTTTTTAATAACTAAATATTTTCTTATTTAATTAGATTACTTTGAAACCAACTTAGCGGGAGGTTCCGAACTAATACAACAACAATGCTGAACACAATTTATACTGAATTTCCAAATCAAATGTTGTCTACCTTATCATAGCCGTTAAACTGGATTCCGTGACTCAATTCTTTTAGCTATATAAATTAGCAATTATCGTGGAAAACAATTGAATGATAACAATACTATGCATATTCCGTGTTCGCGTAGAAATAAACAGCCCGTGTCATGATAGGTTTATGATATGTTGAACTGTGCTTATCAAAAACCAGTTAACTAATTGCCAAAGATAACCCATTAAGGAAGAAATAAAATTACATATATCAGGTACTATTTAGTTTAATTTATACGTTAAATCATTAATGTCTTAATTTACTTCCTCTTCTCGAACTCCTGGAACATGGTGATCAGGGCCTTCATGTTCTCTTCTCCAGAGGGAATGATCTGGTTAGCAGGCAAAACGAAGCCATAGCGACCGGTATCTCTCAACTCATAGGTGTAGGTAATTCTGGTATCAAAGACACCCTTGACCCAATCCATAGAACCACCGGAAGCCTCGTCTAGTAATAGCATTAAAAGTATTATTATAATTGCGTTGGATGTAAAAGTTAGTGAGTTACTTACACAACAAATCAACAATTTGGCCGGGAATGAATTCGGTTCCATGCACGCTTTTCAATGCTTTCATGGCGGTAACACCAACAGAGTACTAAACAACAAACCGTTTAAATAAATATTTCATAACTAATGCAATTTTTTCACTGCTTACCAATTCATCGTAGTTGTCGGGGTATTCGTTGTAAAGACCGAATGGAATAAGGAGGTATTGCGAGTAGGAGTGGTGAGCAATGTAAGCTTCCAATTTGTGACCAATGGTGGAAATGTATTCGGACAAAGTCCTCATTTCAACTTCGGAGAACTCAGAAGGTCCAGCGTAGGTTTCAGAGCAGGGGTAGCTGGAGGCACCAGCGGTATTCCACTTCCAGCCCCAGTTCCTGTTTGGATCAGCACCGTAGCAACCATTGTATGGGGTTCTGGTCTTACGCCACATACGATCTTCTTCGAAGGTGTAGACGTAACCATCAGGGTTGATGTTGGGGAAGACATACCAATCGTGGCTTTCGGCCAAGGCACGGACTTCCGGATCTTGACTGGTGAGAATCTCATTCAAAGTGTAGGTGACTACAGCTGATGAGATCCTGTATTTTATACATTAAAATTAAAAAAACAAACACTTTTGGCCATGCTATATTTACCATTCACGAGCGTGGATACCACCCTCAAGGAAGATGCCGCGATTTTCGTTTTCAGGGCTGTAAGAAACCTTCACACCCACGATCTTGCGACCTTCATAACTGTGACCAGCTTCAACCAATTCAACTTCGTCGTATTTATCTGCAAGTTCAGCCAGCCATGCGTGGACCTATATAATTACAAAAATAATAATAAACAATCAATAATTCTACCAAAGTACACAAATATTTACCTCATCAAGGGTACCATAATCGGTCCAGTCGAACACACGAGCCTTCCTGTTCTTTGGTCTTTCATGATCAATGAAATATTGAACGTCGTTCATGAATAATTCACTATCAGCGGCTGTAGCGTTGAGCATGCTGAAGAAAGCAGAGTGCCTGGTTGGAGGTACCATGATGTCAATGGGACGGCCTACCAAAGCGTTGTCATTCCAGAAGATGTATTCGTTGCCAGCATTGCGCAAATGCATTAACAAGTCCAAAGCCTCTTGGCTTTTTGGCGTGACACGCCAAACTTGGTATCCATTGTAGGATTTTGGTGTGCAGCTAACTGCAAGCACAATTGAAAGAAGGACCAGAGCGATCTTCATGGTGAATTATCTTCAAATAATAGAAAATTAAATAAATACATGAATATCAAATTAACAATGAGGATGAACATTCAACTTACATGTTCCACCGGTGACAATAATAAGCCCGAATCGATCGGCTTTTATATATATTCAACACGTGTTTAAAATATTTCAAAACTGCTGATTAGAGTCTCATATCAAATTAGATCACGTACACGGCAATTAGGTGATTCCAGTTTAGTTCGAGTGGGTACAAATTTGTTTTTATCTGAGACAATCGCATGGAAATAAATATTATGACTCTTATCGATAAAAGTATGTGTTGGAGAACATTTTTCCGATACATTATACAAACATAAACCCTCAGATCTACTTCAGAATTGAAACACAGCTTTTATCATTTAATACTTTGAAAGAGTCTCAAGTCACAAAATCAATATTTTGCCTATAAACTCGAAGTAAATAAGACTAAGATATGTATCAATGTTGGTAACAAAAAAAGTATAACGGAAATGATTGAATTATCAGTTGATCTACAGTTAATGAACATATTTATAAATAGTCAAATTAATCTGATATAGATTCCAATTTAACGCACCTGTAAATCACAGAGGAATCAAACATGATCAATTTGCTAATCTAGTTGTGTCAATACAAGTACAATTGAAATCAATTAACATGTTTGTTATCTAGCAATAATCTAAACAAAGAAAAATTCCAAAACGTACGTGGAATTAACAGAAATAATTTAAAATAAAATAAGCCTCATCCGAATATAAACAGAATATACTTAATACGTTTATATATGAAAAACACAAGAAAATGTCGCTAATCATTGATCCTATTGAAGAAGTTTGTTATCTAAGTATGTCGTTGCATATAACCAGAAAATGAGATTAAACTCTCGACAATAATTCTTTCTTAATTACGAGTGGGTTTTATTTATACACATTATCCACGTGTGTTTTCTAGTTAAAACTTGTCAAAATGTTTACAACTAACTGTAAACAAGGATTATGTTTGTTATTCGCACTTCAAATGTTGACAAACACTCGAAGGTAAGAAATAAAAATTATATCTTTTAAAATACATCCAAATACATTCATGGAAGTAACTTTTATAAATGAATGTTTTATTTGACACATATTCTGTTTACAAATGATGTGATTGATTATTAATACGTTCAGTATTCTTAAACCAGTTTCAGAGTTAAATGCAATAAAATATTAAAGTCAATTGGAATAATTAAATGTATGAGATATAAGATTTGACGTCAATCTCCAATATCTGCAAGTAATATAAATTAATTATAGAAAATGATTCAACAGTTTAACACAATATTATCATACGATCATAATCTTCTCCAGTTTAGTAATCTGAGTCAACGTTATATTGGTAAATCCTAATCAAATCGTTAAAAACCCAATACACTGATCATCGTTACAAACAAATTACATTCACACCTGCTACTTTTTCAATAAATCTAGTTTCACATTTCCGTAATTTGCATTTCGCTAGGTAAACGGTGAACATTTTTATTACAAGTAAAACCCATAGCTTTTTGAGTATTGTTCATACATGTATACATATTATCAAAATGTCACACGTAGAGTTGATATACAAATGTCTTTTACTTTAATTATTTTTAGCTCTACAAAGAAAATTCGATGTGTGCCCCTCATTCATAAATTAATCTCTTGGTGCATTGAATGCGTGGAATGTATCAATATAGGATAATCACTTCATCAATGCAACTATTGATAAAACATATCCTCCGATTGATTGATTCATTTTAATACTTAAGTAGTAGGAAATCATTTAATTGCACAGTATGACATAGACGAATGGACCCAGTCCTCATAGGACGATTCAGAAGTACATATAAATAAATTTTAATAAAAATATACAACTAAACGTTGGCTGCCAGATATTCAATGTATTAGTAATTAGTTATTATGTGGCATGCTAAAGAAAGATATCTATACCCACACCACACCTATTACTTTGCTTTACTTGTTTTTAAGTGTTTAGAAAATCTAATCTACAGTTCTAACATTTCTCGTCTAATTGTCTCACTAAATTATCATTTAATGCAATAAGTTATTATGTACCTAAAATACTAATATCTTGTTACATCGCCTAATTAAGTGTTAATCCAAATACTGTCTATATCAAATAATCAACGACACGCGCATCATTCACGTGCTTAGTATTATATTATTCTTCGCCATTAAAATTACCACTCATTCATAATGAAATCTGATCTGCGTCTGATCTAAATCAATCTTCTCCTCGCTGTTGTTACACGAACTTTCCTAAACATTACCTAGATTATTTCTTATTTAGTCAAATGTTAGTATTAATATCGCTACCCTGAATTCACCGCAAATATGTCTTTCTTAACTGGAATCAGCCGCGATGATTATTCACACCGCAAGCTGTGGACCCGCTTAAGTAATAGTGACCAGCACAACGGATCCACCAGCTTCCATTTACTTTCAACAAATCAGGATTCGACAACAAATAGAGCGCCGCGATAATGTAGATTACAGTCTAGGTCAGACTTGGTCGTAATTGCACGTGGTGTTCATGTTAGTATCAGGTTCGTTTTTATTGTTCACATTGTTAGTCAGAGTCAACTCCGTCAGTTTAGATCCTTCCTCCGTCGGACTGGAGCTGTCTATTTGCAGGCGCAGTGACGGATCGTCGATGATGCGAATGCGAGAGTCGTCGTCCGTGGAATCGATAGATGCTGAGCGTACGCTCGACAGACGCAGACCGCTCTTGTTTCGAACTTCTAGCCTCATGACCTAGACAATCAGAGAAGATTAGGTAATTGGAGAGCTGTGTTCAGCTTATTAACTTGGAAATCACACATTTTATGATAAAGCAAAAAGCAAAGCAGTCTAACAGATATGATAACACATAATGAATAGAATGAAAGCGCTTCTCACTTATAAAATTAAACTAAATCAAGAGTTTCCACTGTTTGAATATCAAACAAGTAGTATAAATATCCAAAAAGAACACAAGACGTATATACATGAAAATACTACACTTATTTCATACATTTCAGATAAATTTTGCAGAAAATATCTACATTTTGTTGGTCCAATAATAAACAACTACAAAATAATATTTTTATACGAGCCGACATAAAATAAATCTCCATCTCAGTAGACTTTGTCAATTTAGATGCATGCTAAAATACTCTTTTATAAACTTTCAGTTAACTTCAATTTTCAGATTACTAATTAGCCAAAAGAAAAGTTTAATTTCGTTTTCGCATGCCCTTATTACAACTTACTCGAGCCATTTCCAAGGCTCAGTGTCAGGACTTGTTATAGGTGTTGGAAACTGCACACATAAACCAGTTAAGTTGTTAGTCACGTATTTTGATAAAATTAGTTGATTTCTTAATTCAATGAACTTATGTACACGTGAAAATGTGATTATTGCAAAAGCATGTTGCACTCGTGCCTAGTATTTGTTAGTATTTACACATTTTAACGCTACATGTAAAATAATTGTAGATAATTTTGGAATACACCAACCTCAGCTTGTAAATCCGTAACTTTATCCTGTAACTCCCGAACTCGATCGCTATCGTCTACTTGATGACTGCGTAGTTCACCTTCGGCGGCAATTTCCTCATTCTATACAAAATATTTAGGATTATTTTTTATCAATTATAAAAAAAAAATTAATTTCGTACTTTCAATTCTAATTGGCCAATTTTCTGAGTCAACTCGGCGACGGCTTGAGCCTTTTCAGCGTCACTAATCCTGGCATTCATCAGTTCTTCCTGCATTTTGCTTCCAAGATCTGCGTATCGCCGTTGTTCCTCAAGTAATTTCGCAGCCGATTCTCTATCACGCAATTCGGCCGCTTCTAGCAGTTCTCTTTGCTTCTTGATTTCTTCATCTTGTCGTCGTAGTTGGTTAGTGCTAACTTGCACTTGAGTCTCTAATTCCATTACCTTCAAGCGCAATTCTTTCACCTCTGTGAGCGTCTCCATTTCCCTAATTCGAGTAGTCATTAATTCCTCTTCTAGTTTTTGCGTTTCGTTACGATTTCCCCAAAGGAGTTTCTTCGGGGTGCTGAGCGCATCATTTACCGTTGACGACTCTTGTTTGTGCTCTTGCAGATGTCTGCTCCATTGTGATGATAGTTCGGAAACTCGTTGTCGCAGGTCCTTCAGTGATAAATTAGCTTCGGCCTCACGCAATTTCACAGCGATTAGTTCTTCCTGCAGATGCGCTACACTGTTGTCGGGTGTAATTTCTCGCAGAGTTTTCTTATCCTCTTCCAATTCATGTATGCGCGCTCGGAGATCCCGAACAAGCACATCGTTTTCAGCTTCTCGAAGACGCACTTTCACTAATTCGTCTTGGAGACACTGAATCATCGATTCTCGTTGTTGAAGTTGTTCCGATTTCAATGACATTTCTTCTAATGATGATTGCCTTGAAGATTGCTGTTGAAACAATTCACTTAATAAAATATTTGTGTTATCTAATAGGTAAACACTTACCGATTCTTCCATTTTCATCGATAGTGACTGAATCTTTTCTTTAGCTAATGCCAATTCGTGGATAACTTGTAAATGCGTGTGACGTAAGCCTTCAAGTTCGCTTTGCACAACAAAAGTAGTTTCTTCTTCCTCTGCACGACTAACTTGTCCTTTTACTAATCTATCAGCCAAAGCACGACTTTCGTCCTCCAACATTTCGTTCCGCTGTTTCAAATGTTTGTTTTCAGTCCGCAATCGTTTAAGTTCCATCATTTCCTCCTGTTCTTTGGCTTTAATAACACTATATTCTTTTTCGAGTTTCTTCATTTTCTTCGTGTTTATTTTCATTCCGTAAGCCAATTGCATCAATCCCTCTGAGTCAGATTCCGCGCGAGGTGGTAATTCCTTTTGGAAGAACTTCAACATACCCTCCATATCTAAGGACATCAAATCTTCCTTGCCCAAAGTAAGCATAGCCAAAGCGACTTTAAAAATAATTTCGATTCCATCACACAGAAACACATCCATGATCCGACACGCCAAAGGCAGCGAAAGTGCAGTGGTGAACAGCGTTAGGAACCAGCTGGACGCATACATGGAAGTGTGGAAGTTTTGGGATTGGAAATGTTTGCTCAACTCAGGTAACTGCTCGGCAACGAGGTTCTCCAACTGGAACATGCACAATCCCAATTCAGCCATGGTGGGTTTGAACATGTCGCGCATTCTATAATCCTCCATGATCTTCACCAGCACGGCAAACGTCTCCTCCTCCGGCATTTGCTGCATCAGAAGCAGACCGACGATAAAACCCGTGCCCTGGCAATAACCCACTTCGCGATCGTGCAAGGAATACGCCTTGATAACGTTGAAAAGGGATTCCTGCCCCAGTCCGTCTTTCTCTTTAAAGAAATCATGTTCCGGATATGTGCGCGCTATATCACGTCGGATTACCTTTTCACACGGCGATTTGGTCTGGAAAATTTATGTCACAATAAACGAGGCCGGCCATAAACGCCGAAGCATTTAATGAGATTTTTATTACCTTTATGTATTCAGCGTAGAGCTTCTTCTCCGGTGCTTCGGTAGCCGAGCAGAGCAGTTGCCACGCAATCCCGCGGAAATGCACGGGAATTCCTTTGCGGACATACTCACGCACTTGAGCATTCTGCTTTTTCCAATAGGTATCCCATTCGCTTATCATTTGACCCCACAGGGCCCATAAATCTTCGCCATCTTCACCTCTATCGGCACAACTAGTTCCTATCCAAATATAAACACGACGTTGGAATTAGATTCCGATAAAGCGAACAGCTTTCATAAAAATGTTGGACGGAAACAATTATTACCTGAAGTTACAGAAATTTGTGAAGTATCTGAACTTTTTCGGGAGTGACCTGAGGCCGACGCGCCGCTCAACGAATTGAGCGACTTTGCATCGGACTCATAGAGGCGGTTTGCCTCCTCCAGCTTGGCGAGTAGAGCCAACTCGTCGCCGGATGCTACGTTGTTGTTATTATTACAAGGCGCAGGACTCTCAAGCCTCATGGCTGTGGGAGGCATCGTGTAATAGCCTCCATCGGACTCCAAAAGAAGACAATTTAAGGAGGGGCCGATTCTGAAATACAAAAAAATAAAAAAATTACTACACAAAAGACGCTAAATTTCATAATTAATTAAATCATATACATTTCTTCAATGCATGATATTCGATTACATAATCAATGCAATAACAACTGATACACACGACTCAATAAAAAAATGTTTGTATATGCAAAGTTATCATATACACTCAGCAAACTAGTTATTAAAACTCTTATCGCCTGTCCGTAAAATAATAGCATTAGTATAGAGTATAAATAATCGGCGTCATTTTGATCAAAGCTCACTATCAACATGTTCGCCTGCGAAGAGAAAATCGCATTTGTGACGGGTGCGCTGGGAGTTATCGGGCGGGCGTACACGAAACATCTTTTGCAAAACAAAGTTAAGGTAGGAACATATTTATAAATTACACGTGCGAAAAGCCCATAAATTACACCTTTCATTGTAATAAATTTGTAGGGCGTAGCTCTTATTGACGTGCAAGAAAACGACGTCGCATATCAGCAACAACTGAATGAAACATATGGAAGTAATAAATGTATTTACATCAAAACTGATGTAACAAATACATCTGAATTAAGAGGTAATCATTTAATATTAATAATATTAATTACTAATATAAAATAATATCAAATTACAGAGGCATTTGAGAAGACAGTGCAGCACTTTAAGCAACTTGATATTGTCATAAACAATGCGGGGATTATAAATGAAAAGAATTACGCATTATGTCTTCAGTTAAACTTTGTAACTATGCCAATTTATATATTATATACAAATATACCAATATCTAATTTTAGATGGCAACATTTAATGGTTCAATGATGGCTCTTCGTGAATATCTACCAAAATATAAAAAAGGTTCCGGTGTGATTGTAAATACATCTTCAATTGCTGGTGTGGTGCCATACAAACTTCCCATTTACAGTATAAGCAAACACGCAGTCGCCTCAATTGGAATTTGTTTCAAAAATGAGGACGAATGTTTGAAGCAAGATATTAGAGTGCTGACAATTTGTCCAGGGCCCACCCCGAGTCCGGTGTTAACAGAAGCCCTGGACATTTTCTCAACGGAAGCTAAATCTTCGAAAGAGATCAACATTGCTGCTTCTACCGAGTAAGTTTATTCTAATTAAAAATGTTACAATATTGCGTTGTGTTTCTAACTATTGAGAATTTTTAGTGCTGAATATCTGGGTGAAGGATTAATTCAAATCATGAAGGAAGGTACCAATGGTGCTGTGTGGATGTTCATGACCGGAAAAGAGCCACATGAGATGGATTACAGTGCAGTTTTCGATGTTGCTTGGGATTATATTCTAAAGTAGGAAATTGATTTGCGGTATTTTTCAGCTTATGTTAAAACAAAATGAAGAATACAAATATTTGCTGTCAAGTTTATAAAACGTGGCTTATATGCGAAAAATATATAGGTTCTTATTACAACTGCAATTGCAACTTTTATTAAACCATTAACCACAATAAAGATAATTGACGTTATATGCGAATTGATGGTACTGTTCAGCTCCATTCAATCCGATGCATATTCGCAACTTCACAAAGTGACGCCTCAGAATGCAATACTCGAAGAATTTGCTAACAAGTGGGAAATACGAAAAAGTGACTAACAAGTGGGAAATACACATTATTTAATATGCTAGTCTAATAACAGTCTTTAATTATCAACATAGACAAATGCATGACATTGTTTTGCATGATAATTTCTTGTTTACCCAGACTGCACACAACTATTTCGACATAGTCAAAGTAATCCATCTGTTGTGCACATTCATTAAATGAAACTTGAAAGCTGTAGTCACAATGTTACAAGTTAAAGGAAAAGTCGTTTTGGTGTTTGGTGGAAATGGAGGTATTGGAAAATGTACTGTCCTGGAATTACTAGAACATGGAGTTAAGGTATAAACAATTATTATTATTATACGCATACATTGACTTAATATATATTCCAATTGTGCGTTTTTTAGGGTATAGTTATTGCAGATTTGAACGATAACATGAACTATCTTGAAGGAGTGAAAGAGTACGATCCAATCCAATTCAATAAGGTTGAATTTTTGATGACTGATGTTACAAATCTAGCACATATTAAAAGTAAGTTATTACGCTGCTATAATACAATATCAATCTAATCAATTCACGCATTATTAATTTTAGGTGTCTTTGAGATTGCTTTGTCCATATTTGGCGCCGTAGACATTGTCATAAATTGTGCTGCTGTGGTTAGCGAAAACAATTACGGCAAGAATATCACAATTAATTTGGTAAGTGAATCACTTATAATCTGTATGTTCGATATAAATATCAGTGGGATCGGTGAAGGTCAAGCGCATAGAAATAAAATTGCACTCATTGCGCACAATTCAAATGTCATTCGTGCTAATTAAACAGATATTGCTAATTGTGAATTTCCGTGTATGGTAAAATGTATTTAGTACCCATTATCTTTAATTATCGGCTATATTTCGTTTAAAAAATATGGAAATTCCTAATTACTACGTATTTGTCAATTTATTTTCGTTAAAAATATTATTAAATTTCTCAAGTTAAAATTAAACTAGAATCTGGTAACTTAAAACTATTTATGACGTGCTTTCTAATATAATATTTATACAAATCAATTAATTACAGATTGGAACAATGCATATCGTAAATGAAGCATGCAAATATCTCCCAAGATACAAATCATCAAAGTCTGAAGAAGCAGTAATAGTAAACATGGCATCAGTAGCAGGACTAGTGCCCCTCACTAATTTCCCTGTGTACAGCGCATCAAAAGCAGGCGTTATTTCATACAGTTATGAGATGGCCAAAATAAAGGATATGGAAGGTGATTTCGAAGTGAAAATAATAACACTGTGTCCGGCTGCCACCGAAACACCAATGCTTAACGTCGGAAGAAGTTTATGCGAAACCACCACTGGCCAAATACAGAATAATATGATTCAAATATTCAAAACCACCCCGGCTCAAAAGTGAGACATGAAAACTTGACATTTCCGCATCAAAAAAATAATTCTTTTTGATATCTAGACCGGAATCAGTCGCAAAATGCATTCTTCACATCATCGCACACGGAGAGAACGGGTCCTGTTGGCTGTCAAAGAACGACGAAGACGCCAAACTAATCGATTACGACGCAATATTGACGTTGGCAAGCAGCATGTTGGACGATTAGCTTCTTTCATCGTTACCCGAGATGTTACGCATGCATAAAAACACTGCGTATACCCAGCAAATTGTTTATACTTCCAGCAATATCGCGTCAATGTCACGCGAGGCACCCGAATGTCTACCAAACGCGCAAAATTTATAATTTTACGACATGTCGTTTAATATAGCAATATCAATATAAATACCAATACCAAGATGTCCACTTGCAATAAAAGTGTAGTAACTGAGCATAAAAAACGTGATAAGTGTATCGTTTAATTGGCGAACGATAAATTGCGCCGATATAACGTACATTTATTGGCATTCAAACGGCTCGGCACGAGATAGCAAAAGAAAATAAATAAATAATTATTTCAACTGTTTAACAACATGCCGCCGCTGATAGGAGATGTCGTAGTTCAATGTTCTTTGTTCATGCGATTATACAAAAACTGGAAAAAAGCGCTACACGTTTTTTTTCGCAAATTCTATTGCTCAAAATTTAGGTTGCGCTAAATTTAATTGGAACAATCGTGGTTATTATTGAATTTTCGAGTTTCGCCTTGAATCGATAAGGACGAAAACTCATCATGAATTAATTTGCTCACATTGTTTGTTGTCCTATTGTCCTATATTCCTATATTTGGAACAGCAGCATCCTGCCAACCTTTGGATTACAGCGTAACCATGCAGACACCAAATGACAGATGACAGATGAGCGCTTTGTGCAGTGTGCACCATTCTATTCATTGATAACTCTTAAAATAAGAATAAAACTTTCCTAAAGATAATCAATATTATCTTTTGTTATGGTAAACGTATACAATTTAGAAATCAGTAAATTTATATTATGTGATATGATTACAACCAGAAGAAAAAAAAAGTTTGAATTGCTGAAAATGTTGGTTGCTCGTGGCTGGATCAACGCCAGCCAGACAAGTTTTTCTTATCATTGTGCCAACGCGTTTTTCATTATCCACGCGATTGTGTTCCGCATAGTGACCCGTCCGCAACTTATATGCTTTATAATACCTTATATGCAGTTCGCGATAACTTGTGATAAAATTTGTTTGCGATACCAAACTATGGCCGGCAAACTCCATGAATAACAAATTCCAGTTAAATCTGTTGAAATGCTTTGGCGTTTTCCACGAGATTTGGATTAATCCTGTTTAGTTTTTTGTCAGTTACACGCGTTCAGAATCTTGAAAGGCAAAATATTTTTCTTTTCAGATATGATACACAATACATCACTTGTGTTTTGTTTCAGATGAATAGAATAAATGGTTATAATATTTTATCCCCGTCTGTTCTCGAAAAAAATTGCAAATCAAAATGAATTATTTGCAAAATCTATCAATGTCTAATTTTTTTATTGCATTCAGAATTCCAAGAAGATGAGATAAAATATATTTTATTGTTGGTTGCATTTCTATCTGTGCACAAATTTTTGGAATAATGACATAATTTGTATGATTAAGGAGATGTGACGTCAGAGTTGAGTAGTTCTGATTGAATATTAAAGGTTTTTCGATTTTCGCAGTTTCTTTCGATCCGAATATTAATCACCCCGCAAGTAATAAACAAGAAACCGCATGTTCTGCATTACCTTCCTCATGCCTTTTTAAATAAAGATATAATTTTTGTAATTTTCAGTTATAATCATAATGTCTAATACACGTTTACATTACCAAAAACATATGCGCAGTTGCGTCACTAAACAGTTCGTATCTGTTTATATTGACGCATGATTCTTAAAATTCTAGGCAAATTTCATAACAAATTTAAAAAATAAAAAATGCATATACACTGTCAGATTCACTTCGCATTGTAATTTGCAGCATTTGTCCTTCCAGACAGCACTGCACCACACGAGTTATCAATTAATGCAACAAGCATTGGTTATTCTCTTGCAATCAGCGTTGCAGGTCGACGCGATGCGACTGTAAGCGCGATCCAACATTGTCACTAAACGGTGTCAGGAAATGTCTCTAACACACAATATACATATTTGTTTTTATTCATTATCACAGCTTGACCTATTATCGTGATACGACAACCTCCTATAAAAGCATTTGGTTCATTCAATGTGGACAGATGCCTTCATTCAGTTTTTATTTCTCGCGCGCACAGAACGCGTAGCTGCAGATACGGTCCAAGTTCGAACGGCGGCGGCGCGCGCTAAAGTCACAAATTAAATGATTGCAAACCGCAACGTGCTGGCACAAGTGTCAAAGAAACTGAAATCGTTCAAACAATAAGCGAGCATCAAAGAGCGCGCGCGCGTCGGGAAAACCGCACACGTCAAAGCACAAAAGAATACGAAATCAAAGAGATAATCGCGCGGCGCGACAACTACAACTAAAAAATACACAACAAACAAAAAAAAAATCCACACACAAAAGAATCGCTTCTTTCATTTGCACTTTACGCAGGCGTTTCGAGGGGTGTAATAATACGAATACAAACAATAACAGCAACAACATGAATCGGATTCTCTTCTTTGGAATGTGTGTGGCTTTGGTGGCGGGATGTTACTGTGCTTCCCTTAAGAAACAAAACAATACAGGTATGACAATTTCACGCAATCAAAACTAAACAGATATTATTTATGCATGTACACACGTTGATATTTAAATTGATGTAGAATGAGATGACGCATGTTTCGAAATATTAACACCTTGAACCCGACTGCCGTTCAGACGAGATCTATGTTATTAACCCTGAGCTTTCATGCAAAGTGTTATTATGTATCACGATAACACTGAAACAAAATCAAGGCGCGCGCGCGACAGAGTTTCAAGACGATAAGACGCATGATTATTGAATCACAACGGCGCACTTATCAGGCACCCATGATGTCCGCGAATAAAAACATTTGCAATGTGGTGTAATTGTTGGCGGAAATTTCCACTAACGTTTCAATCACTCGACGACCTCAAACGTGATCTAACTGAATTGCAATGTGCTCACTTTGCACATCCACACACGCTGATAACCTATCAAATGTTATTAAATAACACAAACAACTGAAAATCATCGTTAGCTTGAAAATGTGTTTCTCATCGAATGTTTACTATATATTACGAAAAAAGGTCAAACCGGCGGTCACTACGCTTGATTTACGTCTTGTTGCTTATTAATTTGGTGATGATCTAATTGCTGCAACGACGCAAAAATCAAAGCATATGCTATTGTCGCACGTAAATTAGGCCATTAGGACAAAATAGCGAATATTGGTCACAAATAAGAGACTATCTGCAGTGACGAACGCAAGCTGCGCGCGGTGACGGCCAAATAATGACCCGGCACACATTGATAACGATAAATCGAATAAGCACGTGATGGCTATCGCTGTTCTCTGAATTATGATGACAAATTACTCGAGGGATTTTATTGCCTCGGCGAATCAAATAATAAAAACAAATCGAAAACTGTTTTTTTTATATCAGTGTTATTGTTTTCTGTTTTGCAGCCAGCCATCGAAAATACTGCACGGACGAGAAGGACATCGAATTTAAATTGCCAGTGGGGGAGCAGGCGCCCAGCGCCAAGGGCACATGCATGTTGGTTAAATGCGAAGATGTAGTTAATGGTGAATCCATTTATACAGCGATAGGGTATGTTATTTTTCAATATTAGATAATCGAAAAATAAACTTTTAGGCACGCGAAACAAATAAAAAAATATAAAATAATATTTTTTCTCCTCCACCTGCCTAAAAATGCAATTTTGTACAATACTAAAGTACTTTGTAATATTTTTGTATTTTTAAATTTAAATTAATTTTCTTTTATAGCTGCGGAGTTTTTGTACCAACAGAAGGCTGCAATGCAACAAATTACGACTACAGCAAGCGGTACCCCCATTGCTGCCCAGGTGAAGAATGCTAAATGAAATTAGTTCATCGATGGTAATAATAATAAGTACCTAATCATTTTTTGTTTTCTAAAAATCTTAATGGAGTATTAATAAGTGTAGTACGCATTTTCTCTCTAGATACACGCACACATATTATTTATATTAACAAAGTAATACGTTTATTATAACTATTTTATTATTATTATTAATCTAAGTTTATACAAACTTTAAATCGTTATGGCTATTCATTGTATGATGACATGGTTACACTTGTAGTTGTACTTACAATATAACCAATACTCAATTGTTATAGAGAATTGAAAAATGTAAACGAAAAAAAACAAAATATTATCCAATATTAAATACGTATATAATAATTATATTAATGTTGTAATTAATTTAATAATTTCCTGAATACAATCACTTATCAATACGAGTGCTTGTAGTTTCTGGTTTAAAATAATTAATCATTGCTTTTAATTAATTTTATAATTAAAAAAAAAGACATTTATCGTTTGTGTATTATCAGAGAACTCAATAATACTGGTAATAAAATTTCCAACACAACAGATTCGATAAACAATAAATAATGAAACTGTTTTCAATTAAATTAACTGTGAAAATGAAGTCAAAGTGAAGTTTGCATAAAACGCAAATAATGTTTAAAATTCATCTTACCAACCGCATTTTCGAAGTCGGTGAGCTTGATTTAAATTCCAGCCACGTATAAAAGACCAATTTACGGTATTTTATATTAACGCACGATTAATAGTAATTTCGCGTAATTTGTGTGGGAGTAATTAATAGGGACTGAAATTACGCAGCCACTGATCAGCATACACAAGTAGCAGAGATAATGAAACTAGCTTTTATCCTTTTAGTAGTAACTATCACCATAGTAGTCAATGCTGCTAAGGAAGAAAGTAAGTCTTACATTAATTTATAAATGGCAATGTATTGAACTTCCAACATGTTTCTATTTTGCTTAGCATGCATGCATCACCAACAAGTTATAAAGAAGGGTGAAATAAAATATAATACACGCCGCCAGTGCATAAAACTCGAATGCATGGCGCAAGACATCCTTAATGTACAAACGTATGAGAAGTTAAATTCATAAAAATATGATCTCGACTAATTCACATTTGTTGTTTAGATGTGGTACATTTGTTGTTCCGAAAAATTGCAAGATGTCTGAGTTTGATTACACGAAACCTTATCCAGATTGCTGTCCAGATGCAATATGTGATTAAATAGAAAACAATGTAGATTTATGTTTCCCAGAATACTTATGTTTTAAAAATAAATGACGAGAAACCACAACCTTCAAATTAACGATGATATTATGCATAGTTTGTTTAAACACCTCTAACACCTGATTTACAACAATGCACATCGAAAAGCATTATGTAATATTTAAATCCTTCTTAAACCAATAATATTGTACTAAAACCAAGTTTAGTACCAATTCATGTTTGTTTGCTTAATTTTAGCTAAAATATTCAGAAAACTATCAGAGGAAAACGTGCCTTAGAGTTAGTTAATACGTATTTGCAAGTCAATTCGAAACATTAAAACGATGAGGTTTCATTATTTAATGATAAACAAATTTTTTAGTGGGAGTTATTGAGTTCTGAGTTTACTAAATGGATTAACGTGGCTCACAGTTATAAATAAGCAATACCTTGTGATTTACCGTCAGTCTGGTATAAACTATCCCTGACAAACATGATGAAAGCAGCGTTATTCCTTCTTGCTGTTGCAATTGTCACAATTGCACATGCTCAGGAAGAGAGTAAGTTCTTCTATTTTAAAAATTAATCTTAAAATTTCTCATCTTCAAACCCTTTTTTGTTTAATAGCATGTGTGGTTGACGGAGTGACAATCAAGAAAGGCGAATGGAAAGCAGCACCAATTGGCAAATGCATGAAAATGACATGCGACGGAAAAGATAAAATCAGCGCACTCGGGTATAACGCAAAAGATAAAAAGAAAAACAAATTTGATGTTGACTAATTTCTATTTGTTTAGATGCGGAGTCCAGCCTCCTGCGAAAAATTGCAAATGGTCCGAAATTGATAAGAAGAAACCTTATCCGGACTGCTGCCCGGTTCAAGTGTGTTCCTAAGTATAAATTTCAACAACAAAAATAAAAATGTTCGCAATGTGACTATAAATATCATATAATAATAACAATGTTATGAAAATAAAATAAAACTCTCAAATAAATCTGCAGTTTAACAAATTAAAACTTGAAACTTAAAAACGTTTTTGTTTTCTCTACGCAATTAGTTGTCTAGAATTGTTATCACTTAACTTCAATTGATTGGCATATTTTGATATCATACCTACATTGTTTGCAGTGAGTAATAATTATAATTTGTATCGGTTCGCCCACTTGCGCCAAAATGCCCAAACAGAAAACAATAACCAACGAATTATACTCGTTCAATTATTGTCGTATCACCAAGATGCACGATATTAAATTCACACTTGCTCTTCCTTTATTATGTGTTGCAATTTTGCATCTGCTACATGTCTCAGCAACAAGTAAGTAATGCATTTAATTACACGTGTTTTAATTAATGTTTATTTATAATTATTACTAGACTGCATAGACGATGGTAGATCATTTGATAATGGCACGATTCTGACAGCAAAATTAGGAAAATGTTACGTGGCAACCTGTGCGGAGAACGGAACAGTTGCAAAAATTGAGTATGTATAATCTACACATTTAATTCATCTCTAAATTATTTAATTAATTATTATAGGTGCTATGCTGAACCGCCTAGATATGGATGTCATAAGTCAGGCTATGATTTAACCAAAATTTACCCACTCTGTTGCCCATTCGATGTTTGCCCCCAAGATATCGATATTACTGAGTTATTATAAAGTCAACATTAACATGAACGACAATATAAAATGACATCACTTATATTGTTATTGCATAACTCTCCAATGGCCGTGTCACCAATGATCTTTTTAAATGTTTTGATTCTCTAGTTAATGTGCAAATGAAAAACCAAGCTGCTTTAATCTGACATCGCGCTAATGATAAATGTTAACGAAAACCAGTTTATCGGCAAATAAAGAAGCGGGGTATATAAACAATTGACTTGACTAATTAAATTTATCTGTTGTCTGTATATAAACCATTTTACGATGGACATACACTTTAGTTTTTCTTGAGTGTTTAAACTTTGCGTTTCGTAATACAATGGGCCGAATAATTTCGTTGGTTTTTTTCGCAGTTGCCATCGCAACAGTTTTGTGTGATGGTAAGTAAATATAATCTTTAGAAATGTAAAGAACGTGATTTCTATTTGTGTTAATGTTTGTTTGCAGATTGTACGTACAAAAATTTAACAATTAAGGCTGGAGAAGACGGTTATCCGAAAGGTGAATGTATTCGAGTACATTGCATCAAAAATAATGAAATATCTGCTTTGCCGTAAGTAAATATAGATTTTTGCTGAAAATATGAGTGTGTAACATTGGTATTTTTAGATGCCCCCAAATTGGCATCCCACAGGGATGCAAAGTGACCTACGAAGGCGAGGACCTATCCAAACCATATCCAGATTGTTGCCCAAAAGCTTATTGTTAATATGAACAAGTATATTTTTTGATAATATTTTGCGATCGTGTCCCAAAATAAAATAAAAGTGTCTAAACCTACTCTTAATGATATATTAAAAGAAATAATAAATTGTTACACAACATTCTGTTATCCTTGTGTTAAATTTTAAATTAGTGTTTTCCAAAACCCAGCGCAAGAAAATCGAAAAGACGAAGACCGGATTATGTAAATTTCCCTACATTCAAATGCAAATTCTACAATGACGCAAACGCAAACAAGAACATCTTCGTCAACATGACATAAAAAGTTGCAAGTCTATAGAATGTATACCAAGCGTACCAAAATAAGAAAAAACATTCTTCGGAAATAAGTTTAGACAGAAAGGAAGCTATTCAACACACGTGTTGCAAAAAATTAAGATATACGGGGGCGAGGTGACGAAAGTTATGCGCCGGACAAAGTCGCCGACCCGCATCCCTTAACTCAAAGGGTAGTGTTTCCGGAGTTCAGAGGTTTGGTCAAAGAACCGATCGAATACCCTGGCGGCTCAGGGACTGCGGCTGGTTTCGAAGTCAATGTGGAAAGCTGAGTTGGCACAGCGCATCCAACTCGTTGAATAATACGATTATTTAAAAATATATACGCGTGACTATATGCAACCAACTGAACATGTAGCATGAAAAATGCATAAAATTCTATCTACGACGCAAAATAGCTACAAAAATTTCTGTTTATCCAAATCGTTAATTTTCTTATCATAATTGTACTCATGCGCAAATATACCATTTCAATTACTTTAATTATTTCATCAACTTAAACACTAGCTAAACATTTCATAGAATTTACTATGATATTCTTGTGCACTTACAAACTTTGCGTTGTTATTCGCATGAAAGTAATAACAACGTATAAAATTACCTGAGAGCTAAACACCTATTCAAGTTCCCATGAAAATGTACCATGTATACTGTGTAAAATTTAATCTCACAAGTGGAAACTTGTTTATTTTAAATTGAAAGTGTTAAGAAAATAAGTCGGACATATAGCTTTTCGCGCAAACAAAGCCGCGCAACTGATAAAATCCTACATCTGTATAAAACAGCAGATTGAAGATTAGATGCGCTCGTGATTCGGCCTTGGGTCGAGCGAACGGATGTGCTAACATAAATTAAAGTTCAGAGTTGCTTTCCTATTTTCTTCGAGTTCTAGTAAGAGGATTTGCAATTGCAGCGAGATTGAAGTACTTTGAGTAGTAATTGCATTCCGCCGGCCGCAAAGCAAAGGCTATTCGATTGACTTTGATTCTGAAGGAAACAAAGGCATCTAGGAATAGCCACAAACTTATTTCAAGGTACACACAATTCAAGAAAATGCATATATCGCCTCTGGAAACGCAATAATAACTCGATATTGTTTAATGTAATTGTGTTTTCAAGGTTTTAATGAATTTAAACGTATCAAAATGGCGTCGTATAGAGCATCGGTGTATAATGAGTTGCCTACATTAGTACACCACTCTCTAAAATAAACGATGATTTGTTTGTACAAATCAATACGAAAACATTCGACAAGCACAATATTCGTAATAATATAGTGTGATACCAATAATGAGAATCGTTATAATTTATCTCTAATCTACTAATTTATATAAATTGCATAGTCTCTAGAGCCTAGCGTATAGATATACGAATTATGCTGTATTTCATCGTGTCCTCTAGCAATTTATACATCTGTAAAACAGTGTTTCAGCACCATACGTTGGTTGGAACCGTTGGAAACTATAATATAAACGAAAATGAGACCCATGTCGAACCGCAAACCTTCCGTGCTCGTGCACGTCCCCAAGGGAACCTACAAAAGCGTCCGGAATGGCACATGAATAACGACGAAGATGAAATTTAATTTGCATCAAGCGTCGCGGTGTTCCTCTCTGCCATACGCGCACGTTTTACCAACACCTGGGTTTCTATAATTTAGAGGATTGAATATTTTCCTGATATATTACGATAGAAAACGCACCTAACAATAAAACAGCTTGAATTATTATATATTCATAGAAAAACTCACCGTTTACGTGCGATTGGTTGCCTTCTCGCCAACCATATTCGTCTTGGGACCAACTTTTGCAGAACCATGTCTTTTCTTAACATTTGTTCTTTTTACATGATTTTGTTTTAATGTAAGTATACTAAATGCAGAAGCGAATGACATGCAAAATCAAACAAAGAGAACTTCCCAAATTAACTTCCTAAATCTAAAATGCTATTTGTAAATGCAGGGAATCATTATATCATTGTTCTCTAGTAACATTTTCGCATATTAATCATAAACGCTAAACACTGAAGCCAACTCATAAATTATTCAACACAGTTCAGGAGAAGAATAGAAATATTTCCAACTTATTTAGCAACACCAGCCAACCACTCAAGTAATAGATTTCAACTTCATTCATGAATATAAAAATAAAAGAGCAAACTTGTCTCAATGCCACTGCCCATAGTTGTCTTGCGGTTGAGTTTCAATTTCGTAATACAAGAACTAATATTCATTTTTTATTCATATTATTTATTTTGAATAAATAAATTAGACGCACACCGGATACTGTAACGCCTGGTGGGCAAAGTTCATGAATATAACAAGCTGTAAATTTATTGGTTGAAAGGTGAAACGCAACAGAGCACCGTTCGTGTGTGTGGTTCGCAAAAACACAAGACGTGAAACGTTTATCGCTGTATAAATATATAAATAATTTATTATATTAACGCATGTCGTATCTTCGGAGAGAGAAATATAGAATTTTCCACCAGTTATCTACTAGTGGTGCAGACTTCGAGCGAGTAAAAATTTATGATGTAGAAAAAAGTTAATTTATCTATACGTCGGCGATTCTAGGTTTTATATACCTATTAGTTGCATGTGGATATATATGTTTTATAAATGTTTTAGCAACTGCGGTTTCCTCTATTTTCGGAATGCGGGTGGGAGAGTGCAGATAGTGCAGTGGCTTCGAGAATTTCAACAGTTGCTTCCTCCCTAGTGGCTGTTTCATCCATTACCAACGGAAAAAACAACAAACTGGAATGATACCGAATGCGAAGGAAGATCCAGGTGCAGGAAGCAGTTTTATCTCATTATTACTCATTTCTTTTATCAGAACATACAAAATATTGATATGAAAAAATAAATATTTTCATTAAATGAATACTCTAATATTTAAGTTATGTTTCAGCGAATACAAATTCGATAGGCTTTTGTTTTTCGCACTCTACTTTAAAAAGAAACTTTTCCAACTTCATATTATTCCTATGAAGTAGTTTATTTTAAAAATGATCCTGTTGAACTTTGTGGAAAGCAATCTAACTTTGCTTACTTTAAACTTTTCTAAGTGCCTCTTAAACCAAAAAGAAAAAATAACAAATTTGTTACATTAAGTGTTTTAGTGCCAAACAGAAATGAATAACGACTATTCAATTAGTAATAGTAATCATTGATAACACACCTTATATCCAGACAATATTTTAGGCAATTATCAACAAAATATTAACCCAATACAAAGTCTACAGATAAAATTAGACAAAATTTGCAAATTACCAGCAAAGTATAACGAAAATATTAATCGCACCAACACAATCACTCGTTCAACACCGTTTTAAGTCATTATTGCAAACATTTAGCAATATTTAGTTACTGGTAACGCGTGGGCGTGTGTGTCCGTGCTGGCTCAGCGGCGGAGGTTATCCGCCGAAAGCCAGGACGACGCGGAGCCTCGCGCACAACTGATGTTATCCTAGCAACCCAGCATCCTTTCGGCTGGATTCGCGCCAGCAATTCGGGCGTTTTCGAGCGGCACGATACCCGGCAACGCCAAAGTGAACAACGTGAGCCATCGCATACCAACTGTTATAAACTTCGTTTAAATTCATTAATAATTTAGCACTCGGAATGAAATAGACAGATAAAAACGATAATTTCGTTTAATATCAACTCGTATTAATATAAATTGAACTGCATTGATTTGTAAAAATACCAAATCATTAATGTTAAATTGTTTTATAAGTAAATATGCATAAAATAGAAAATTTTTGTGAGCAGCTTTGTGAAAATGAAATTCAAGGAAAGTTACCAAACAGAAATGCATTTTACATTGTGCACTACACGTTAATAAGCCAGTATCGCATGGGAAGCAAGCACAACTTACTTACTTATTTTCTCAGCGAATATATTCTCATGTCCTGGCCAAGCTATGCTAGCCATGCACCATTCATGCAAACTGCAGAAACGTCGTTGCCGTGGGTGGCAGAATCGGCGTCCTTCCGACGTGCTCCGTGTATTTGTACCATTTGCACTTGTCTGCGCTAAGCCGGCGGAAGCGATCGATAAAGCCGCGCGATATTTGTACAAAAACGATAAAAATAAAGCCGTCGGCTATGAATGTCTTTGTTGCTCATTCATCTATAACGGCTTAATGATATCCAACTAAGAAAAATGATGTTACAACTTTCTACATGTACCTAACATGTAATAATAAACATAACAACAATCATATTATGGCCAGCAGGCAGTACCTTTTTAATTTACAATAATTAACCCCAGCATTGATGGTAATAAAGTTCATTAGGCGGTTAAATATCTACAAGTTAAGCGTGATTAAGCCTAGCAAGTACGAGTTTGCTGTTAATTGAAGCGGTAATTGCGTAATCCGTGCAACAGCCTCGCCCAGAGAAAAACCTCAACAATGAAACCGCAATTAGGCGCTGATTATTTGTAATTATTTTGAAAGGAATCGCGAGAAAATGAAAGAAAGTGAAAAATAAAGTGAAGCTGACGCCAGGAAACGCGAAATGAACATGGAATTAGATTAAGTCCAAGTTAAGAAAGTTTACACAAAGAAGAAAATAACTTTTTTCATTTTCACAAAGTCCAAAAATGTTTTAAAGTAATTTGGGGCGCCAAATTTATTTAAAAAATGAGCATTCTAAAATTTATAATAAAAAAATGTTGAGTTTTAAGTTATGATCAAGGTGGAGGTTAAACGATGATCCTGAAATTCACCGCCCCATTTCCTTGCCCCATATTCCCCGTTAAAGTTAACATCCCTTAAAGAATGTTTCCGACTGGCTCAAGTCCATTAATTCAATACTTATTTAAATGAATATTCATATTTCAAATTTCTTACTGGCCGAAATGCTTCAAGCATATTGTATCATTAGAGAAAATTAGAATTCCCGCAACAAGATGAAATTTTAAATTAGATTTATGTCAAAACCATATACACTGCAGTCTATTAAATTACTTAAATATAGTAACTAAGTAAGCAAGCAGACTCCACAGACAACACATCTGTTGAAATAATCAAGTATCATATTTATAACCATCCAGTGTGTATCTTACAAATTATTGTCGTTATTATGAAGTTAGTTCATTGCATCGTAATTAGATTACAAGTGCAGCGGAAGCAACTCGCGCCAAATGTTGTGCGCGACAATTGAAACTAGTTGGTGAGTAAAATCAAACTACTGGTAATGACTCACTGCCTGCAATGTGATGGGATAAAGTTTTGATTAAAACTTGTTTATAATTGACTAACAAGAATCTCGCAATTATGCAATATGATTCATGCAGCATCAATGAAGAATGAAAGGACCAACACAAAACGGCAGAAAATGAGAAGTCAGGCGACCAGCGACTGTTTTATACCTGCGGTTGACCCGCAAAAGGTGGTGGGGGTAAAGCTTTGTTCCATTTTCAATTACAGACCAGTCCGCAGCCACTTTGTGGCATGATGTAATAAATTAAAGTGTTCCTAATGATTTTATTAATATTCTAGCACTAGAGGGTAATAAACGTCGGACAAGATATGCTTTTCATTGCCTAGTATAATCTATGATTACATAGGAAGACTGTAGAAGCCAATCCAGAGCGGACTTGGCGAATTAACTTGAATTAATTGTTCTAATTGCATTAATTGTAGTGCACTGTTCGTATAAGAGTGAGTTTTAAGTGTGTGAAGTCACTTGCAGTTTCTATGATGAGAATATTCCTCTTAGAGAAACAAAAATACAGGAAACAAGATACGTTAATGAATTTTTATTAACCTTTTGAATATTTAATTAGAAAAAAACATCTTTTCTAAGCTCAATATTATTATTTTTTCTTCTTTTAGTAAAAGAACATAAGAAAATGTCACATTGAGAGCAAAAAAGCAATAGTAAACAGTTTAAACAAACATTTGTTTTTATATTCGCAATTTGTCTTGGAGTTGGTAGCTTTTTGAAGCGTCGCTAAATTTAGAGCTCCTGCGCCCAAACAGCGTCGCGAATAACAGTAAAAAGCAAGAAAATGTAAACATTAAATTCGATCTGGTGCTTTCAAGTTTCCCGATATTACGCAAGCAACCGTCGTGCACGTTATCGCCAATCTTTCCAACTGGAAATCAATGGACGCGATTGAATTTCCCGCAGAAACATAAAAAACTTGTTTTTTCCGCTTCTGAAACTTCTACTTACACCGAAGCATTTTTCATAAAACATCGAACAATAAGCGTATTTATTGTATATTTAACTAAAGTTTCACGAGTTATTTTGCCTTGAAACATATTCCATTTTGAGAATTTCTTAAATTACATTAATAGATAACAAAAATTTGATTGAATTTATTTGTAAGAAATAATATTCCCAAGGCGTAAACATTTCTTTCCAGCTTAGAATATCCATAGGGACAGGCAATAATCCCAAAAGGGCAAAAAAGTATCGCAAACAATCAATTTCCCGAGTCTAGAGGGTGGAACAATCAAGATAAATTCTCCACATTCCGAAGATTTTTTCATAATTCCTGATTATCCAATCCAACTTAAGTGATTATGAAACAATTGGCTGCAACACCAAGAAGATTAATGAATAAAGTTTAAAAGAAATTTCTTAATAAAATTTCGCCACGAAAAACAAACAAAAACAAAAAACGTTTTTAAAAATAAAAAAGAATATTAACGTAACAGAGTAATAACCTCTTTAACCATTGTTGTATCTGTTAAACATGGGAAAATTATTATAGGATTAAGCCACACACATGAGATTTTCACAGAAAGCGTATTTAAAACATTAACCACAAAGTTAATGTTGTACTTACGTAAAGCCAGATTAAATACGAGTAGTTGGGGTAAAACTTTCCGGATTATCATACAAAACTTGCGCCCGACCATATACAACAGTGGCATATTTACTCAACATGCTCGCCCACCTGACAAATTCCCGCACATATTTCCAGGACAATGAAATATTTGCTCTTGCGTATAAAGCCGTACGGTCCGCGCATATATTTCACGACTTTACAACTATAATAACCATTATAAATCAGGTCAATTAAAGCTAGACTTTTATACCCACTAACCTCCTGAATAATTTTTATATGACTTTAGTTTGGTCTGATTTAATTTTTGTGGAGCGGAAAATTGCCGAAGCGAAACTGCCGGCGCGCGCATGAAATTGAACGCAACTTTTTAATTAAACCACGAAGCACATACGAACGATCATCGCATCACCGTTAATCAACTGGGCCAGCTAATTATACGACGCTGAGCATCGTAAAATACTCTATGGTGACAATGTGTGATGCCTATATCTACTGCAATCTAAATTTGCAATACACTTCATTTTCTCTCATTCTCTCTTTCATAGAGTTTGAAGCATCCTCACCTAATGCAAATCAATGAATATATTTGCATGAACACATTGTATAAATCGAAATATATAATCGTTAGCCAATCCCGTCTAATTTCTTGGTGTCAATTTCGTACCTCATTGTTATTCGTGTCGCGAGCGGTCGCATTCACTTCCCATCCACGCCACCGTTGCGTCGCATCGAATTCCCCGATAACAAATAAACTTCACTCGTGCATAAGTGATAGTGCTATATACAGGCGGGCACATACATTTCCGCTGATTGGCAATTTGTACCGATAATATGGACGCGCTGGAGCTACACAAGATGGAGCGGCGCAAGAACTATCAGCGCGTGATAACAACGGCGACGACGAGAGCGCGCGCAAGGGCGCCGGTAGACCTAAACGAAGCGGAGGCGGCGTCGACAACGCCGGACGAGATCGATTCGACGGCGTACGACAGCAAGGTGCGAGTAAATCACTGGCACGACAAGATGATGGAGCACAAGAAGATCTACTACGCGGCCGAGCTGAAAATGTACAAGCTGGAATTGGCTATGGCGTAAGTGGCCATTAAAATTAGCTCATAGGTCGCCGAGGGCGTCGAGCGCGCGGTGTAATTTATAAATTGCATTTGCACCTCGGGTAGTTAATTAAGCTCCAAACAAGATTACCGCCTCTTTTTAATTACCTGCATATTTTTTGCTAGGAAATACGACAACTCAAATAAATTGCGTTGGTCAGTCCGACACCGTGAAATGGCCAACATGATTCACCACGATGACGAAGTAGAGAAGACAGCGAGACGCACACCGGAACCGGCGTTCGGTTATGTGCCAATCACAAGGCAATTGAAAGCACAGTCAGAGCCAGCGCACGATGATGAAGTCAATAAAATCAGAGAAGAAACAATCGAAGAAAATGATGATAATGCCGAAGTACGTTCGCAAACTGCAGACTCTACTCCTCGGAATGATTTGATTCCACTTCATTCGGAAGATTACAAGCCGTTCTCAAGTACAGCTTCTATACATTCTTACATGTATCACTTGAGGAAAATTTATGGGAAGTAATATCATTGTATAGAGAATAAAAATATGATGAGATGTAATTTCATCATTTGAAACATGTAAACATTAAACATCTAAAGAACGTAAGGCAGATGTCATAAGATGAAACGAGTCATAAACACTAGAAGAAACCCAATAACCTACATACCAATATAAAAACGATGTCATCTGTATTTTACACTAACAGTATAAAAATAATTAAAAATTATTTAGTAACTTACCTTATAAAAATTTAATCCAGGTTGTCTGAGTTTCGGAATCGTCTAAAACACTTCTGGAACAAAAACATTATTTTAGTTTAAATATTTCATACATTTATTTAAAAAATAGCATTTGACGCTTGAAACGACAAGATAATTAATCGTAACATGACTGGTTATCATCCGTGATTAATGAATTTTACCTCCAGCGTAAAAATATATCATTCACCTCCTTTCATTCAGTTCGAGCACCCTTTTAATAATTGACTCGAACAAAAAGCGTTTAAATACCCTCATATATCATGACTAACGAGGACCTTTTATTATTTTTTAAAATAAAACTCTCTACGCTTCCGTAAAGCTCTCTGAGTTGACACATGGTCGTTATTTCCATCTCTAGTTACTCTTTTTCTCGACAAAGTCTGCATTCGGTCAGGTTATGGTTGAACTAAATACGTGATAGTGTTAGTGTTGTGTACGTTTGGCGCTTTCTTTCACGTTCATTCGCTTCGTTACCCCGAGTGACTGACACAAGTCGAGCGCGCACCACAACATTCCTCGCGCAATGAGTAATGCCGATTATTAAGTAAGAGTTCATTGCTCTACTTGCACGCCATTCTTGTACGCGTCTATGCAATGTAGTAAAATGCAAGATTTTTGAACTTTGAGAGAAATTATTTCTAAATATTTGATGGATAAATTTGTAGAGGTTTTAAAAAATTTGATGAGCAAACAGGCGGTGTGCGAGGCATGTAAAACCAACAAAGTGCGAATTAATGAATTCACACAGGCCGCGCAATGAAAAAAGAGCCGCCACATGCTAATTGAAGCATAATTCCGTGCTTTGCGTAACAATGCACATTTTAATTATGTTGCTGGATGTGCACGTCACAATGGTGCGTATATTACTAAATTTTCATAAATATTTACCATGTTTGTTAAAATCTACATAAATGCAACTTATATTTTGTCAAATAAACAAAAAATAAAATTATAAATATAAATACAACAAAAGAAACTTATTGATTACGCCGTTATCATTTTTTTATTTTAAAATATAAAACCATTCGTTGGATAATTGGGCAATTTTTGCACGAAATATTCATAATTTTTCAATTCGGTGTCCAATTTTTCATTGCCATAAAACTAAATCGATGTCCATTAGATAAATACGGCGAAAAAAGCATTAAATTTTCGATATTTATGGAAATCATGTCAGCGCGGAATGAAAAGGGATCAACTTTATGCCAACGTGATTTATGAACTTGTATTTAACGTTAAGCCAGCCGCGAATGCCTCGCCGTCGATAGTGGCACTTGGAAACCAATGCGAATGTTGTAAAAGCAAATCTATGTACGTATATGTACACCAATATGCAAGGCAACGAAACGCAACGGAAAAGTGAAAAACGTAAATCACGCTCGTGGAATATCCGGCAAAAATGTAAGCGGATTTTCGATCGATTTGCCACATTGCACAAAATGTGTGATCGGAGCGTGCAAATACTAATGCGCCGAATTTATCGACAGGGCGGAAGCAGCGCTGAGAAAGAAAGTGATTTATGCTACGTATTTTCGGGATCGGCGTTTGAATAAGAAATTGAAATTGGAAGTGTACACGTAAATCAAACAATTATTTCTTGTGTTAACGCTTGTTAATTAATTTTTGTAAATAGAATCGAGAGATGGAATTCTGTAGCGTTGTTTAATTGGCAAACGGCGAGAGATGAAAACATCTTGTGCTAGAAATCTACATATCAATAAAAATCATTAAACTTTTGTAACAAGAAGCAATCATTTGAAGCACGAAAGAATGTTATGAACGTATTCATTCAATTTTAATTAATTTTTTACTTATCAGAAGTACAGCAATCATAAAATTGCACACAATTCTAAAAATATCTTCTATTTTTGTAATTAATAGCTGCAAAACTCTACAAACAACACAATTATTGACCTGATTTCCGTCAACTAGAAATTACGTGTCCTATAGTTGGTTCAATATGAGGATCAGCACATTTGGTCATTCAAACTAATTGTAATTGTCGCTCAAATTACGGGACATTCAAGCTGAGCGCAATCAGTCGCCAGAAACCGCTGCGAATTGCCGGAAAATCTAGGTCATTGATTCGGTGGGTCACCAAGTAATTTGATTAATTAAAACTGTCGCCAGATATTTATAGCGTATGCATAAACAAAAATGCAAGTATCAACCTCACACGGCAGTCTATTTAAGGATGACTAGTGACAGTTTCACAGCAAGACTGAAATAATTTACACGACTAAAAAGCAGTTTATCGAATCAATGCAATGAATGTGTCTATTTATAAAATGTCATTCTATACATGTCTCACTTGCCGCAGAAATAATATATCGATTTGAATTTGTAGCAAAAAATAGAAGTAAATTGCAAGTCTAATTTTAGAAAAAAATGTTAATTTGGTTGCATACATACAGGGAAAGTTCCAAATTAATTTCCCGAAACACTATTATCAAAATGCCCATAATAATTAATTACCACCTCACCCAATTTCCCACACACACACACACACACACTACACAATAAAACCAAACCAACCCTCGGCGCCCATCCCACACACCTGTCGTGTTAACGCCACCTAAAACTAGGCGCATCATGTATTATCTCATACCTCAGCTGGCTAGCACACTATCTGGTTTTAATTACGAAAGGTCGTCGCTTATTAACGCCGCATCGAGTATAAAGTTAACGCTGAAAGGGTGGGTCACGACCAGGTTACATATCGCGTGCCGGTGCTAGGTTTTATTAAATTATGCTACAGTGTATAAACCTCTGACACTGACGAAAGGTGGAACGCAGAGGACACCGGCGGGTTGTGATGTGCGCACGACGCGCGTATGTATTAAATTATTATATCACGTCGTAAAATGCGCGTACAGCGTATGCTCGGCGATACAAGTTCACACTTTTGCTGATATTTTATAAGGACGACATCATTTATTAAGCTATGGCCATCAATGTGCGTTTTGGGGGTAGTGGGATGGCTGTAACCTTGGTCATAACACTACTTACCTACTTTACACGCATGTAATAATAATTTGGTGATACATATTGTCAGAAACCAAATTATTAGTGACTACTACAAGATTTCTTAGAATAATGACTGAATTATTACTTTTTCTTGCTAATATAACATGATATTTTATATCAAAAAACATTTAAAAAATATAAAATATTCTATTTTTTCTCCTAAATGCTAAAAACCTTAAAATTTAACTACAATTCAAAAATGATTGTAAAGTTTTTCTTAGATAATTTATTTTTACTGTAAATTACTTACGTAAGTAATAAACACTCTAATAAAAAGTTTATTAATAAATAATTCCCACAATTAAGATTATTGAAGCACCTGTAAACCGTAATGTTTCTGCATCTGCGCCGTAAGTTTTCGCAATTACATCGCATATAAATCCAAATGCCTACAAGCTACGTCATTCAAGTGGGCTTGTTCTAAATTACAGCTCTCGAGTATCACCGACAATGGCGACAATAGGAGCACACCAAGAGCACGGGCAGGCGTAAACTCGCCGTGGTTGTTTAATAATTACATTAATTAGATGGCATGTGCGGTGACATCGCGCGAGATTGCCAAGTTTCTACACTTGTGCGCTTAGTCCCACTTGACACCGACTTGATTCAACAACTTCCAGACGCGCAAAGTATATATTCAAACTATTTCTCTCTAACCAAATCAACACGCAACTATTCACTATCTAATATAACAATTGGTAGAGAATAATTTAGTTTTAATTAAATTTAAATGTAATTAAATTCTGTTTAATGTAAGATGTGAACATTTAGGAAATTAACACCTTTTTAACTTGAACATGCTGAATTTCGATGCTTTCGACTAGATGAATGACAGAAGAGGAAGAATCACGTAACCGGAAATAATTGAAATTTGAATAGTGGCCAACTAAATGAAATTATGAACAATTCTGTATTGTTTTCATATGAATGCTATTTTCAGCTTTAGTTCGTGTATGATTGACGTAAATTTCGTTCCATTTTATAAAAATTATTTTTATTTAAATCACACTTGCCACTAAATGTGAATATTAACTGGAATTCATTTAAAAATAAATGTGTCAATAATAAAAAACACGTGGAAAGTGCAATCAATATAAATAGAAAAACGAATATGACCTGCATTCCTCCTTTCAACGAATGAATAGTATAGAATAATTCTAAAAATATCGAAATTACTCCAATTACTCCACTTCAAACATACGATACATGTGAAAGATAATATTTGCTTCAAATAAAAACTATACTCGTATACTCAAAGGAATTGTAAATGAAGCATCATTCAGTTATCAGTATTCAACGCCCAAAAATAATAACGTCAAAATATCAAAATAAATATTTAAAAAAATCAAATAATTGGAAGAATTATAAATATTTGCATAAAAGAACATATTTTGTATTCATGATTCATTATTTGACGCTGCTGATATTTTTGCACCGAACGATAACAGCATTTTGCATGCATTTCTAGATAAACCCACATAGATTTATCACAGTAATTTGCTGCATTTCACTTTCCAAGGCGAAAATTCTCACAATTTCATTGCCATTTGTTCCAATTTCGCCAAGATGTGCAACATAACACTTAGATAAATATCAAAGATTAAAACACATTAAAATAAACAGGCAAGCATAACAAATTATAAATGAAAACAATTATAATAAATATACTTTATAGTGTGCAAAGTAAACACTCTAAATAAATATTGACGAATTGTATTATTCAATTTATCTAGCATAAAATGAATATTCCTAGTGAATGTTCATAACTAAACTTAATATATTGAAATGGTACTTTCGAATGAAATTTACAAGTGCGCAGAAGTTCACGTTACACCAGTCATGACACATATTACCAGACTAGAAGGTATGCATAAGTAAAATGTGTGTCATGAGTGATAGAGTGATAAAATTTACAAAAGTACTACCCATAATCATAGCTTCAGTTGCCTGCCTACATACTGATTGCAATTAGTAAAAACAAAACAAATTTTAGTGGTTTCGTAGT